GGTTCTTTGCAATGTAATACAATCAAGGTAAATGGCACCAACATCCATCTAGTTCCACACATGACAAATTTGTCAGTTTTGACACCTTCCTTTTCCTGTTTTGAAATGGGATGTCACTAGGTCACTGAGGATAGCCTCAAACTCTGCAGGTACATGCCACACAACTAGTTTATCTTCCCCCATCTAATCCATAGGCATCCTTGTTGACTGCATGCTTTTTGCAATTCAACTCTCCCACTCTGCTACATCTGTTATCAGGCCTAACCTACCTGGTCTCCCACATGTTCTCAATAATATACATTTCAAATTCCAGGAGCCTGGTTTTTGCCTCCTTCTCTAGCTTCATCATAGAAAACGTGTTATCCATCAAGTATCATTTGGTTTCAGCCTCCCCCAATCTAATTAACTCCTTCAGGGATCTGTTCTCAGTATCTCAAAGGACTCTATACCTGTACCATCCCCAACTTCAATCCAGTTTAAACTCCAATTTTCAAATTATTTCTTATTAATCTGTTCTTATTTTGAAAATACAATATGGGCAGGGATCCAATTTTTGCTACCCAGTATACTACTTGGAAAATCAGCATGTGATACTGATTAAATGAATACTCCATCATGATTAGCTTCAGTACTAAGTCATATCCTTGATTTTGATAAATCAAACTGATATTTACTTATCTATGCAAATTTGAAATGCAAATCAAAATTGATTTAAAGGCATCATTCAAAATACAAATGCATGTTGGGATGGGGATATAGTTCAGTCAGTGGTAGAGTGCTTGCCTGGCATGCCCAAGGCCCTGGATTCATCTACAGCACGCAAGAATTAAATAGTATGTGTAAAGACAAAAACAATCACTGGAGGCAGTGGCAGGAGGATCACAAGTTTGAGGCCAGCCTCAGCAACTTAACATTCAGTTAAAAAAAATAAATAAAAAAAGAAAGGGGAAGGATATATTGCCCCTGGGTTCCATCCCAGTACTGCATCCCCCACACACACCCCAAAAAAGGGAGAAAAACAAAGATAACCAATGTAATATTGGGAGGGGCTGGAATCTTACTTACTACGTAGCTCATTAAATTTGATACAGTAGGTATACAACAGAAATCAGAGAAGTACAGAAAATTAGAAGACTTGTGAAGGCGGGCACGGTGTATCCAAGCAGCTTGGGATGCTGAGAAAGGAGGATTGCATTCAAAGCCAGCTTCATCAGTTGATTGCCCAAGTTCAATCCCTGGTACCTGCCCCCCCCCCCCCCCCACAAAAAAACCCTAACAGCTACTAAAACTGAATTCAAAAAAACATAAAAGTTTGTGGGGGCTGGAGTCTTGGCTCAGTGGTAGAGTGCTCATCTAGCATGCATGAGGCACCAGGTTCGATCCTCATACCACATAAAAATAGTGTCCACTTAAAAAAACTAAAAAATAAATATTAAAAAATAAAAATAAAAGTGTGTAGCCTTCTCTAGCAAGATCAGGCAACATTAGGAAGTCCTTATTGGGGATTAGTCTAGAACTTGATTGCGAGCGTGCTACTGCTTGAGCCACATCCCCAGCCTCTCCCCACCATTTTTAAAAAAGCATTTTATTTTTAGTATACATGGACACAATCTTTATTTTTTTAAATATTTACTTTTTAGGTTCAGATGGACACAACGCCTTTACTTACCTTATTTTTATGTGGTGCTGAGGATCAAACCCAGGGCCTCACCCGTGCTAGGTGAGCACTCTTCCACTGAGCCACAACCCCAGCCCCACAATCTTTTATTTTTATGTGGTGCTGAAAAACGAACTCAGTGCCTCACACACGTGCAAGGCAAGCGCTCTGCCACTGAGAAACAACCCCCCCCCCCTTTTCCCTTTTTGAGGTAGATCTAACTTGCTGAGCTGGCATAGAATTTGTGATCCGAATGCCTTGGCCTCGCAAGGTTCTGGGGTTACAGGTGTGCCCAACTGCACCCAGCAAATACTATTCTATGTGATTGTTTTAAAAATTATATTATCTTTACATTACAGGCACATGCCTGAAGTCCCAATGACTCAGGAGGCTGAGGCAGGAGGATTGCAAGTTCAAGGCCAACCCAAGAAACTTAGCAAGACCCTGATTCTAAAATAAATAAATGAGAATGGGACGCAGCTCAGTGGTAAAGTGCCCCTGGGTTCATTTCCCACAACACCTCCCAAACAAAATAGTAAATATTTGTTTTATTAGCAATACAGTATATTCAATAAAAGTCAAACTATCACCTTAATTTACAGATGACATCTCTTCAAATGCCTGAGATCTACTTAGCTTTTTTTGTTTTTGCCTAAGGGGAAAAAAAGAAGCTAAAAAGCTAAATTTTCTTTATATTCCCCACATACTCAAGAAAACCCCAGAGGTGGGCTGGGGATATAGCTCAGTTGGTAGAGTGCTTGCCTCACATGCACAAGGCCCTGGGTTCAATTCCCAGCACCACAAAAAAACAAAACAAAAAACACCCAGAATCCTAAACAGACTTTACAGTTCTCCACCCTTGTTTTGAAGATAAAATTCCACACTCCCTGCTCCAGAAACAAATAAACAATCAAAAACATGAAATTACAACCAGAGAACTAGAGAGTGGGCAAAACATAAAATGATTAAAAAGTAAACTCAAGTAGTCATGACATACGCCACCTGGAGAAAACGAAACCAGTCCTGCTTTTTAGTAATTTTATTATTTTTTCTAATATTGTTACTTTAATTTCCCATAGCACCTTGGCAACGTTGAAAATACAAATACAAGGATGTACGTATTTTAACATTTTATGCAAGAGCATGTGTCACCATTTTTTGGAGGGACAATTCTGACAACAGTAACAAACCTAAGCAATGGACAAACTAGAAAGCCAGATAAATGGTTCTGATCCCCCAACCCCCAACATTTAAGATATGCCATTCAAGGGACATCTGAAACAGTTTTTATTTTTTTTTAAAGGGAAAAAAAAATAGGGTGATATGGATAATTCTTTACATATACTAATCAGTATGCTGTGCTACAAAACTGAAAATAAAAATATTTAATACACAACCTGTAGATATCTGAGCTGCACTTTTAGGAGATGTCTACCATAGACTAATAAAAACTTCTTATTTTTAAAAATAAAATCATTTAATAATCAGGTGATTTTCAAAAGAATTTATTCAAGTTTAAAACAAAATTTCTTTTAATTTAAAATGTCTTCATTCAGCTAATGAAATGAAATGTCCACGTCTTCTTCAAAGATCAGACTAGCTACAAAAACATGCAGAAAAAATTCTAAATTTGAACTAGTAGCCATCATATTTAAAGAAATATATATATATAAAAGAGGAAAAAATCCATCATATATTATATCTAAGAATAAATCCCTCAAAAGGAGTTCACTGTCCCTCTTTTTGAGTTTCACCTTTTCCATAAAAAAAGACCAACTTAGTTCTTTTAAAATATAGTTAATATATATTGCCAATACAAATAAGAATGTTAACCCCAGTGTTTTTCAACTGTGTTAAGGTAAATCAGTAGACATTTAAGCCAAAAGACTAATTAATTATTAAGGCCATAACTAATAAAAACTAGAGAAAATGTTCAGTAACTTTTAAATACTACTTCCTGTTCCAGCAATATTCTTGTTCTCATTTACATTAGTGAAGAGACTATATTCCATCATTAAACCTTTTATAAAGCAAGTGTGGTTATTTAAAAAGGAAAGGAATGTGAAACAATATTCAAACTAAGTTAAGAAACTTTAGGAACCAAAAATAAATTAGTTTTTGTTTGTTGTTGTTGTTTTTTGTTAGTTTTAATTCGAAGAGCTGGGGATCAAACCCAGGGCCTTGCTAAGAGCTCTACCACCTAGATGCATTCCCCAATCTCTGCAGGAAACAAAAATAAATTAGAATTCTTTTTGTCATTTGATCACCTGCAAATTAATCACAAGAGACAAGAACTACTTCTTATCAATCAAAGATGAATGTTCCTTCAAAATGAGGGTGAAAAATATTTAGATTGGATCATTATTTTAAATGCTAGTGTCTATATCTGGCAAAACTAGGATGATCAACATTGGAGACAGTTCCTAGATATTATGAAAGTCCTAATTATCAGGTAGAAAACGGAGGCAGGTTTTGCAATGTCTCTATGTACCTTCTACATGAAGTACAAAGTGATCAACTTGTATGACTTTTGTTCTTTATGCAGTTAAGAACTGTGGCTGATCACTGTATCATACATTCAATATAATTCTATCTACTTACAGCCTCCAGCAGTTCAAGGAAAGTTAGGCCAAAAGGATGAAGAGAAGGAAAAAAACTGAGATTTCAATCATTCTATCTTCAGAAGAAATAAATAGTTGAAGTATAATAAACACCCACCTTCATCAGTTAAGAGTAATGCTGGGAAAAAAGCCAACAGTTTCACACAACTCACTGGCATCACTTAATATAAACATTAAGCCTGTTGCAATAAAATAAATGCTAAACACATTCTGTGAATATATATATTACATATATATATATACATATGCAAACACACACACTCTCCCCCCTATACATCCCATCAAATGGCAATGATTAGATGTAATAAGGCAAATTAAATTAAAAAACAATATATTTAAAGAAATTAAAAAATGGTCATGTCGCCTTAAAAAAAAAAGTCACGTCTTTAACATTTTTTACTTTCGATTACATTTGGAAAAAAAGCAAGAATATGATTGCTTCTTTTAAAAATAACTCCTTTCTTGTGTTTCAATTATAACCTTTAGGGGGTAGGGAATATACCTCAGTGATAAGAGTGCTTGCCTAGTTTGTGCAAGGCTTGGGTTCAATCCCGAGTACCAGAAAACAAATAACCCTTTAGATTTTTTGGAGTTGGTGAACTAAAAAGTCACATAAGCATACGAGTAAAAGAAGCCTACAACTGTGACAGATATTAAAAAAAAAAAAAAAGTAGTAGGAGTAATGCTTAAGTGCAATAATTAAGCTTATAATCCTTACCAAGTGATTTTTACAAAATATTTATTCTTTTAATTCCAATGCACTCACAGGGGGTTAACACTTTGTTTCATTTCCACCAACTGCAGCATTATGTAAGTAAAGCAAAATAAGCACTTTTATCATAGATGTACGCCAATGATTAATAAAACTTTCTTTTTTTAAAGGACCTAAACTTCCCCCAAATTTCAGCGAATTTTATTGTATGTCTCTTTTAGAAGTTGATTTTAAAAATAGTGTGTAGAAAAGTTTCAAACTGTGTAAATATATTATACCATGTTATCAATCCACCAAATCAAAAGCAACTGCCAAGCTAAATAATAAATTACAAAGAAATAATAATTCTGGCTTGTACAGAAATGTGCAGTGTTTTCAAAGCTCTTAACAGTTATCCACTAATACAAATCTCCAAAGCTTAACTTAGAATTGAAAGCAGTTTCACAGTAACATTTTTAACCTCCATTTACATTCACTTTACTATATTAAAGATGTTTATTCTATGCCACAATGGTGCTTTCCAGTGTTCACAATTTACAGTTTCAATTTGTACATATGTAACTCATTAACATAAGGGAAAGTTCTTCCTGTTACAAACTATCCCTAAGAAGAAAACTAAAACCCCACCCTACATAGAACTCTGAACATGGTATGACTTAAAAAACAGATTAATGCAACATGGTTTTTAATATTTTAGCCATTTTCTAAATACCAGCATGTAAACTTGCCTATTTAATATATGACAGCTACAATTTTATTCACTGAGAAATTCTGCATCAATTTTATTTAACCATCTTTATCACCTTATCATAAAAATCTCTTGACTTGCTGTTTCTGTTTCAGTGAATTCCAAACTGTATATATATATATATATATATATATATAGGTTGGTTTTTTTTTTTTAATTTTAAGACGAAGGAAGCAAGGTGATATACACTGCAAACAGAAAAAAGTCCCCCCCCCCCCAATTAAGCCTTTATAAAAATTTTCTCTTCTATACTATTTAACACTTTTAAAAAGTCAGTTAAATTGTTTCATCTTTAACAATAAACAAAATATTACTGGAGAGTCAGTCTGCCCCACCTTTCTGGGACCTAAAATTCTGAGTATGTGAACAGAATAAAATATTTCAGTGTTAAATCCCCAAATTTATAACTGTTATACGATTTGACAGGATTAATTAAAATATACAGAAACATACAATTCAAATTCAATAGGTGGTTGGTTATTTTACTTTTGGGGGTAGGTAGTCAAAAAACAAAGAGTAACAAATGAAATAGCAAAAAAGTTTTGTTTCCCATCTTAAAGGTGAAGGGAGGGGTGACAACAGATCACAGGGCAGTTTAAACCTTTAAAATCCATTGACCTATCATTTCAGGTCCAAGATGAATTTCTGAATTTTGTTGAATAGCCCCCCATTCTTTCCTTGAGTATCAAACTGATTGGTAGTCACATCTCCAAGTATAATTAGAGCTTAACAGTCTGTTGAATGAAATATTAATAAAGTTGAAAAGACAGACTAAATTCAAACTAGAATAAAAATCTACTCAAGTATTACATTCAGTTTTCAAATCATTTACTAATATGACAACAGATTTGGCTTAAATCACTCTTGCACACACTCACAACCACAGACACCCCAATTACTGATCTGCTCTGCAACACAAGGCCATATAATCAGAGATGACATTCTCCAAGCCAAACATTAAATAGATTTAAAAAAGTAATTTCTAATTTTTACAGAAATGCTTCTTCAAAAAAATATTTTCTTACTCCCTCATCTCCTATACTGAAGGATGTATACTGCTTTTTTTGGTTGTTGTTTTGTTTTAATTTCTCAAGCTAAATCTGAACACTCAAAATTGATTCCAGGCAGAAAATCTTTGTAAATTAAAATCAAAAACAAAAATAGAAAAATTATATTTTATATATGTGTATATATATATTTATATATATATATATATATGTATTTATACTGATTGGAAGCCTCCAGCATTTTAAAATCACTTTAGAGATGAATTTTGGGATTCTACTCCTCACAATTTCAAAATCCATAATGATTTAAGGATATATTTTGTTTCCTTCCTGGCTACCCATTCCCCTCCAAAACAGTTCAATATAGCCACGGCTCAAGTTTAATGGGAAGAGAGAAAGTTTTTGAATAGTTTTGTTTTTTTGATTTTACTTTGGTGATCTGGGTGGCACATATTGCTCTTTGCCATTACGTCGAGTCACTCCCTGAGGTATAGCCCTATGGCTAAACTGGCGTCTCTGTTCCCTGATTTTTCCAGATGCTCCCCTGGGAATGGTATTGCCTCGGAAGCCAGAATAATCCTTACTAGCCCTTGCTTCTGGCTTCTCATGTGATTTCTCAATGGACTTCTCAGGAGCTCCAGTCTCTTCATTTTTGGTGGGAGACACAACATTGGAGCGAAGTTCCCGTAGTGGCTGCACAAGAACTGGAACTGGCTCTTTAGGGGGCTTCTGGCACACTTCGGCATAACTTAACTTTCGAGGTTCCTTTTGAAGGGATAAGGGGAAAAAAAAAACTTACAATACACATTCTTTAATAAAGTACAAAAAAGGATATTTTAACCACAGAAAAACATAAGTTATTTTCTAGGTAAGGGCAACAGATAGTCTTATATACACTAATGCTGTTAAAGTGATTAGTATAAACTTAAAAAAAAAAAAAAGTGTTGAAAAAAAGAAGTCAGGGCTGGGGATATATCTCAGTTGGTAGAGTGCTTGCCTCACATGCACAAGGCCTTGGGTTCAATTCCCAGCACCACAAAAAGAAAAAAAAAAAGAAGTCTTAGAAATTGATCCATGATATAATTATTTTACTTAAGAAATATATATGCAATGAAATAAAATGGATCCAACCCCTCCTCTTGGTATAAAGAACCCTGAGAAGGAACATTCAAGAATCTTGGCAGAAATCATACTTTTCTAACATTATTACTATCATCATCAAGATAATATTCTAATCTATAAAATATAAAGAGCTGTGCTAAAATGCTACTAGTTGTATCAGTGAAAATATTACAGGTAAATTTTGTGTCCCCCACCCCATATTTTCCCAATCATAAAATTATGAAATTGAGGGGGCTTGGGCTGTGGCTCAGCAGTAGCCCATTTGCCTGGCATGTATGAGGCACTGGGTTCAATTCTCAGCACTGCATATAAATAAATAAAGATGTATCAACAACTGAAGAAATAATACAAAAAATTATGAAATTGATTCTGGTACTGAAATACAAGTAGGAATAGTCCCTAATGGCTTTCAAAGACTTATTAGTGCCACATAAACAACAAGATGAATTTTAACAGGGTCAAATCTCTTTATGATAGCCCCAAACTGGCAAATTCACCAAAACCTGGATGAGATGCTTTTCTGCTATGAGCAGAAGGAAAAGAACGAACAAACCCAAAGAAACTGAATAGTAAATTCTTCACTCTTCAACATGACTAAAACTTTCCATTTCTTCATAGTGACATTTAACTCCTTTAATTTCTTTCAGATGTAGCCAGTCTTACTTCGAGCTACTTCCAAATGACTCTTGCTCTAATAAAGTACCATGTGAAAAAAAGTTGTTTTTAAAATTATATAATCTATTAAATTTTTTTCTAACATAAACTAAACTCTTCCAAGTTACCTGTATGGTCACAGCTCCGGATGCATTTGTGTTACTATTACTTGGTGAAGCAGTATTTGCCTGTGGTGTCTTTGCAGTGCTTGGGGAAGAAACTGGTATAGTCATCTGATTGAGAACATCCTTCTGAACAGTGGATTCCTCTATTGGATCCTTTTCTTTCTGAGTTGTGCTAAGGAAAAAAGAGTTTGGATTTAGAGAACAAGAATTACTGAACTACCAATGAGAAGAAAAAGTCATGCTAAAGATTTTTTATACTAAAACTTGTACCTTAATGCAGGAAGCTCAGCTGTACATGGAGGATTTGTACTCATATTGAGTTGCAGGGCAGAAGTACAGTCTGTTTGCTCATCTTCTACAGGTACTGGGCAACTAACTCTCAAGTCTTCATTATCCTTAAATAAACAGATATTCAAAATTACATTTAGACATTTTTCTAAATAAGATGTACAAATGGACAATAAGCACATGAAAAAGATGATCAACATCATTAGCAATTAGGGAAATGAAAATCAAAACCTGAGAAACCCCTATATACCTACTAGTATGGCTATAATAAAAAAGACAGAAATCAACAAATATTGGAGATGATTATGGAGGTACTGGATCTCTCATACATTGAAAGTAGCAATGTAAAAAAGATGAAGCAGCTTTAGAAACCAATGGCAATTCCTCAAAAAATTAAATAATTATATGACCCAGCAATTCCACTTCTATATACATACCTAAGAGAAATAAAATCAGGTCTTATCTCATATAGACAGGGGGAAAAAAAGGTCTACACAATTTTTTAAAATATATATTATATATTTTGGTTGTAGTTGGACACAATAACTTTATTTTACTTATTTTTATGTGGTGCTGAGGATAGAATCCAGTGTCTCACACATGCTAGGCAAGAGCTGTACCACTTAGCCACAACGCCAGCCAATACAAAAAATTTTATATTCACCGTAGCATCATTTATAATAACCCCAAAGTGAAAATGAACCAAATGTCCATCAACTGATGAAGGGGGGGAAATGTGGTATATTAAAAAACAGAATATTGTTTGGCAATAATAAGAATGAAGTGCTTGACACGGAAGCACATACCTTTCATCTCAAGACTCAGGAGGTTGAGTCAGGAGGATTTTAAGTTTGAGACCAGCTCAACTCTGAGACCCGGTCTCAAAATTAAGAAAGGGCTAGTGATTTAGCAGAGTGAAAAGGCATCCCTAAGTTCAATCCCCATTACCAAACAAACAAAAACAAAAAGGAATGATGTACTTATATCGCTTCAAAGTGAAGATTTTCTGCTAAGTAAAATAAACCAGGTCACAAAAAGACAAATAATGTATGATTTCATTTATTTGAGGTACCTAGAGGAGTCAATAGAAACACAAAGTGGAAATATAGTTGCCAGGGGTTAAGGGTTGAAGGAAACAGGAAGAAGCTCAACGGATATACAGTTTTAGTTTTATTTGATGAATTCTACAGACTGGCAATGCAACAATGTGCATGTACTTAACCACTACATATACACTGGAAATGGGTAAGATAGTAATTTTATATTGCAGGTATTTTACCACAAAATAAATATGTGTGTGTATATTTTATATATATATATCTCTCTCTGATAAATAATGGGGATGGAACCCAGAACACTTTACCACTGAACTATATCCCCAGATCTTTTAAACTGTATTTTGAGACAGGGTCTTGCTAAGTTGCTGAGATGGGCCTGGAAATTGCCATCCTCCTGCCTGCTTCCTGAATTATTGGCGTTACAGGTGTGTAACACCATGCCTGACTACCAATTAAAACAAACAAACAAAAAACAAAACAAAACAAAACAAAAAAAACCCAACAGGAACAAAAACAAGGCCCAGAATTTAAAACTGATGAATGAAATAAAAGATATAATAGATTTAGAGGGGAATATTTAGGAACACTTTGTAGAAAACATAGTTGAGAACAAAAATAAAAATCATAATAACAACCAAAACAAGATACAAAGTTCAACCTATAAGATCTAATAACATATTAAGAGTTCAAAAAAGGACAAAGAATGATTTATGAAAGAAATAATTAAATGAATTCCCCAGCATGATATGACAAGAGTTTCCAGATAGTCTACCAATGAATGAAAAAGAGCCATACACCAAAGACCCATTATCATGAAGTACCAGAGAAAAATAAAATACGCTCTAATTACCTTCAAAGAAAGATAAAATTTACAGAAATCAGAGCCCCTAGACTTAAATAAAGGTATTATGTCCATCTACAACTAAAAATGTTTAAAGAAAAAAAAAAAAAAACCATGGAAGCTGGATGATTTTCTCAGCAAGATGATTATATCTGAATTTAAGAACCTGCTTTTACCTAGACACTGAAGAATAAAAAGAAATCATTAAAGTGAAAGAATTTACATGAATTTTTAAGACAAAACTCTGAGAATATGCCAAACACTTTTGATTCTCAACTTTAAAACAAAAACACACCCTAAGACCCAGCAACTTCATTTCTCTTTCTCTCTCTCTCTATATATATATACATCCTAGACGTTCTTGTTCATATAAAGATTTGAATATTTTTAAGAGCATTATTTATATTGGCAAACAGAAAGCTACAATTTCCATCAACAGCAGAATGAAGACATAATTTCATTTAGATATTTACAAATGGGCACAATGCACATTATATTGTTTAGGGCAAACTAAGAGCTGCAACCTTTTGGTAGGCCCCTCTTTTAAGTTATAAAGGGCTGCAGAAATATATATAATACATACATAAAACCAAGAAGTAGTACACAAAGCCTAAAATATTTACAATTTACCCCTTTTCAGAAAAAGTTTGCCAATCCAGAATGGTAAACTAGAAAAGAAAATTATTATCACAAAGTTATATCTAAACAGAAGAGGGGGGAAGGAGAACCGCAAACAGGAAGAGGATACACATGTTGCTTCTAAGATACTGAGGGCATTTACAGTCCACAATTGTAGGTTGGGAGTACATGGGTAAGTACACTTCATTATTATTCTTTTAAAATGTATGTGTCTGTCTGTCTCACCAAATCTGAGAAGTTATCAGTTATAAAACAAATCATTATTTTATAAGGTGCCCAGAAAAACACTGCCACTTAAACCATGATACATTTTACATTTTAATTATTAGCCTGATTTATTTAATTACTTTTTTGGTAATAGGGATTGAACCCAGGGCACTTTACCACTGAGCCATATCTCCAGTCCTGTTTTACATTTTGTTTAGAGACAGGGTCTTGCTGAGATACCCCAGGCCTCTCTTAAGTTGCTGAGGCTGGCTTTCTTTGAACCTGCAATCCTCCTGCCTCAGCCTCCTGAGCTGCTGAGAAATGGGCATGTACCACCATGCCTGGCTGACAGTCTAATTTTTAAAGATGGTAAAATGTGAAAAAAATGTATATCTTAGAATTAATAAAATAACTACCATATTTCAAAATATTTTAAAATGAGGGCTGACAGTAGAAAAAGGAAAATATTTTTTTGGGGGGGGTGTGTGTGTGGGGGGAGTGGTACCATGGATTGAACGACTGAGCCACATCCTAACCTTTATTTTCTATTTTATTAGAGACAAGGTCTCACTGAGTTGTTTAGTGCCTCGCTAAATTGCTGAGGCTGGCTTTGAACTCTCTATCCTCCTGCCTTGGCCTCCCAAGCTGCTGGGATCACAGGTGTGCACCACCGTGCCCAGCTGGAAAACGATTTCTTACAGAGAACACTATCAAAAGATGAACTATAGACCAAGTATCAAAGCAGAAAAACATTTACAGAATCTAAGACTTAGAAATTTATACCTCATGACCACTTGTTCAGGAAGTTCTAGAAGATGTGACCAGTCATAATATAGGAAAATAAAAAGAGGAAGAAGGGGATCCAATAAAGGAGACTAAGGAAAATTTAACAAAATGGTGAAGGAATACAGAGATATGAAAAATTGTGTCCTATATGTGTAATAAGAATTGTAATGCTTTCCACTGCTGTCCTGTAGTTAAATAAAACAATTAAAAAAATAATAATGGTGAAGGAAGTCCAAGAAACAGTCATATAGCAGGCCACTGAGAATGTATAAGAAAAAGAAATAATTACAGTGTACTCTGTCATTTATGTTTTTTAAAAAAATATTTATTTGGGGTTGGGGCTGTGGCTCAGCAATTGTGCACTTGCCTGGGAAGTGTGAGGCACTGGTTTTGATTCTCAGCACTACATATAAATAAATAAAAATAAAGGTCTATCAACAACTAAAAAAAAAATATTTAAAAAGAAATATTTATTATTTTTTACTGGTAGTTGGACACAATACCTATTTATTTACTTTTATGTGGTGCTGAAGATCAAACCCAGGGCCTTGCACATGCTAGGTGAGTCTACCACTGAATTGCAACTCAAGCCCTAATCTATCATTTATTAAAAAAAAAAAGCGGGGCTGGGGTTGTGGCTCAAGTGGCAGAGCGCTTGCCTAGCAAGCATGAGGCACTGGGTTCAGTCCTCAGCACGACATAAAAAGAAAAGATATTGTGTCCACCTTAAAACAAAAACCCTAAAATATATTTTTAAAAAATGTAATACTGAGACATGGCTTACAAATAACAGCATGTTTTAGTCTACTGGTGATGCTTTTTACTTAGAGATACTGAAATAATGGGCACCTTATAACTGATGATATCTCATAAATGATGAAGCCCAATATACTGGGAAGATGGGAAAAATTTTTATGTTTATTTAAGAGAGCTATATATATTTCCTTAGCTCTAGAATGTAAATCTAACAATGTCTAAAATCTTACTTTTTAAAGAAATATGAAGAGGTCTACACTCAAAAATATTGTAGGATGTAGTAGTATAACTTGCTGATATCTACTCTCCACTATTTCAAAGGCTAAGTTTATCAAGTTAATTATAGGGTAGTAAGTGGAAATACAGCTTTTGACTTATTAAGCTGATTGACTTTAAAGACATGTAAGAGTCAAAGAACATTTTATTGACCTTGTATAATACAACTTTATTATAAGTCCTTTAAAATAAGGTATGCTGAAAACTCCACAAGTTAAAACTATGATAGAAATACTAAGTATAAATAAAATTTAAAATAATAGCCCTGAAAACAATGCCCATAAACACAGTTCCAGAAAGTGAGAGAATCACATTGATTCTTCAGTGATTACCTTTTCTTTGTAGACACCTTTAACAACATCAGACATTCTATTCTCCAAAACAAGTTCACCTGGCATTCTTGATGAACTTCCAGGTAATGGAGGAAAATTTGAAGCTAGTAAGTCAAACTTTGGTGTAGGAGCCTTTGTTTCAGCTGTTGAAGGATGGGGTCTCTAAAAGACACAAATCATCAAACAGGTCATATGCCTATTGAATTCTCTAATACTTGTGCTGTACCACTGAGCCACAATCCCAGCCTGCCTATTTATCTTTAGATAGCTCTCTCTTCTGTTCCTTTTGCAAACTGCCACACTCCTTAAAATTCTGAACCAATATCTACTGTTCTTCAGTTTCTGTTTGCAATTCCCCATTCTATTAAATAAAAATAAAAACAAAAACCCTAATCCTACCATGCCATCAGTTTTACTCTATCCTAATGGAGAACAGCCAGGAACGATGGTGCATGCTGGTAATCCCAGAAACTTCTAAGGCTAAGACAGGAAGATAGCATAGACTCTTCCTCTTTCTATCTCATCCCCTCTTCCCTTGACCCTGAACTCAACATTCCACTAAAACTGCACAAGATGTCAATGCCTTTCACCACAAAAATCTGGAAGTCAGACTATTTTTACTGACTTCATTATATAGCATGTGGCATGATTGCCCTTCTTTCTTTTGGGAGTGTACTTTCTTCTTTTTTGCAATGCTGATGATCAAATGAAGGCCTTCAAACATGTTTAGCAAGTGTTCTACCACTGAGCTAAAACCCTCGCTCTGGGAGTTTGTTATTTTTATTTTATTTTATTTAGCTGTAGTGGTCTTCTCTTTGTTTCTTCTCAGATCTGAAAACCATGTGCGCTTTTCTCATTTCTGATTTGTTAAATTTTGGTTTCTATTCTTTTTACTTCCACATTTTCCATGGGTTATCCATCATTCATGGGTTCAGATACACCGATATGTGAACAGCTATATCACTCCTTTTTTTCTTTGACTTAGGATTGGCACTTAACCACTTAGCCATACCCACAGCCCTTTTGGAGACAGCCTAGCGATAAGTTGTTTATGGGCTCGCTAAGTTGGTGAGGCTGGCTCTGGCAGCCTGGCAAGCAGAAAAGACTTAAAACAATCCTTTTCCCTTTTGGTGGCCATGGCAGCACAACTGAATTGTACATTTTAAATAGTTTCAGCCCAGGCTCTTTTTACATTCAGATTTCACTTGGGATAATTCAAACAACATACTAAAAACTCTTGCTTTTAGTCCAAAAGTCACTACCACATTCCCCAAAGTTTCATATTTGGACTTCTTTTATTACTGTTCACAGGGTAACTTGTGAGAATTTTATCTCTTATTATTTCAATTACTATGTGAAAGTTTACAAATATTAAAATTTTAGGACCTCTAGCTAAGACCTCCCCTCTTATACTACAAGGTGTGTTTATCATCTTTTCCTTCACCCCAACAATTAGTCCTTAATCCAGACATTTTCAACATGTTAAAGAGATCTAATCTCTCTCTTCCTCAAATGTTGAAGGCCACTTAAAAGACTATTCTTGGTGTTTTAATGCAATAATTTTCTTCTTTGAATATTATTCCTTTTCACTGTAAAACATACATGTAAAATAAGCATTGTATTACACATTTATGATACATCTATAAATCTGGGGTGGGGGATCCTTGAGGCCTCCATGCTTTTTTTAATTCTTATTTTTGGCAGTGTTGGCATGCCAAAAAGACACTACCACTGAGCCACATCCCCAACCCAATCTCCATGCACCGTTATTCCTCAACTCTTTTTGCCTCTAGATTAGAGACAATGCAAAATTCACTAAGAACAAATAATGGAAATAAAAATAAGTAACTGAAACTGGACAAAATTCAAACATGATATATAAAAGAATCAGCAACAGACAGATAATTACCCAATTAAAAAATTAAATAAAATAAAGGCATTGTATCTAACTACAACTAAAAAATAAATATTAAAAAAAAAAAAAAGAATGAAGGAGGGCTAGGGATGTGGCTCAGTGGATGTGTCTTCAGTGGTAGCTCAGTTGATATAGTGTTGCCTAGCATTCACAAAGCCCTGGGGCATTTAAAAAAAAATACTATCCCCTCTCTGATAAAAAACAATTAATCAAACATATACTGCATTAGGCTATAGATAAAAGAAACTTTGTTGTTCATGGAAGCAAAAAAAGAAAAAAAAAAAAAAAAAAAGACAGCTCCTACAGAAGGTTATCTGGCAGCAATTATTGAATTGTGATCCAGAAAAGCCACTCCAAGGGATTCTCCTTCAGATATAATCATACCTATGAGAAATGATGATATTATAAATAATGCAATGATAATTCCATATTATCAAAAGACTGGAGCTACTTAAATATCCATAAATAATGCAATAAATCTTTCATATTTTTAAAAAATATATTAGGTATTCAAATAATTTTTTTGAAAAGAGAATATCAAAAAATTGTAACCGGGCTGGGGATGTGGCTCAAGTGGTAGCGCATTCGCCTGGCATGCACAGGGCGCTGGGTTCCATCCTCAGCACCACATAAAAATAAAGATGTTGTGTCCACTGAAAACTGAAAAATAAATACTTAAAAAAAAATTTGTAATTCTCTTGCCACAGCCTCCCTAGCTGCTGGGATTACAGGTGTGTGCCATTATATCCGGCCCTTTTTATTTTTTTGAGACGAGCTGTAAGTTGCTGAGGCTGGTCTTGAACTTGCAACCCTGGCCGGTGCAGTGGCACATACCTGTAATCCTAGCAGCTCGGGAGGCTGAAGCAAAAAGATCACAAGTTCAAAGCAAGCTTTAGCAATTCAGCAAGCCCTGTCTCAAATTAAAATATAAAAAGGGCAGGGGATATGGTTCAGTGGTTAAGTGCCCCTGGTTCCATTCCCAATACCCACCCCCCGGCCTCGCCCCGCCAAACCAAAACCCAAAAACAGGCCTGGGGTTGTGGTTCAGGGTAGAGTGCTTGTCTCGAATACATGAGGCACTGGGTTTGATCCCCAGCATCACATTAAAAAAAAAAAAAAAAAAACTAAATAAACAAAATAAAGGTATCGTGTCCATCTACAACTAAAAAATATTTAAAACAAAAGCCAACAGAAAAAACCCAAACACCTCCCCAAATTTGCAACCCTGTCTTAGCCTCTCATGGGGTTGGTTCACCCAGCTTCTATTTTCCTTTACTAAATACTAAAACCAATGAAAAGGCAGACCACAAGTCAATGCCATAGTAAATCACAATAGAGAAAACAAAACAAACAAACAAAAAGAAAGATGTAATTAAAGGTTAAAAACACTCACTGGGATTCTGTCATCTTCTCGTCGTCTTCGACCTCTGAAAATAGTTCTCCTTTTAAAAACAAAAGACTTGTAAGATTCTTCAAATACACACAATATAACAAAAATGGAGAAATTTCTAGTTTAACTTATATTCTAAATCTAAATCCACCAAAATTAAAAGATATAGTCTTCTGAAAGCAATCTGAGCTTATATAACCAAAAGCTCCACCACCAGTTAGCTGGTTCATTTTTACTATTTTTTTTTGCTCTCTCCATACCAGAAGCATATCAGAGTTTAATTTAGGCAAGGTAGGCACTATAAAACCCATTCCTACAGGTTATACTTAGAATAACTAAAACCCTAAGGCACAAAGATGGATAGCCTATTTTTCTAAGCTGCCTTCTCCTTGGCCAACTATAAAGAACTTCAAAATATAAATTTCTGATCATAGTGGCTGGGCATGGTGGCATACGCTTGTAATACCAGTGGCTTAGGAGGCTGAGTCAGGAAAATTTCAAGTTCAAAGCCAGCCTGAGCAATGGTGAAGAGCCAAGCAACTCAGTGAGATCCTGTCTCTAAATAAAATACAAAATAGGACTGGGGATGTGGTTCAGTGGTTGAGTGCCCCCCACCCAGTTCAATTCCCAGTACCCCACCCCCAAATTCTGATCATAGCTATTCTATATGGATACTCTATATTTCTTAATTATTTAAAAAAAACTACTGGGAAGTTGAGGTTGTGGCTCAGTGGTAGAGTGCATCTGAGCACATGTGAGGCACTAGGCTTGATCTTCAGCACCACATAAAAAATAAGCAAATCAAGGTATCATGTCCACCTACATCTAAATACATTAACAACAAAAACAAAACCAGTAAACACCCACTGAGGTTAGCCATTACAGTGGCTGATGCTTGCCAAGCATGAAGCCCTGTGTTAGATTCCCAGTACTATAACAACAGAAACAACAACAACAAAAATCTAAAAAATTATTAACCGATGATAAACTGTTTATTTCCATAACCACATGCAAATAATTGTTAAACCAACAACATCAATCATTAGTCATGGTCTTTGAATACACAGAATGAGTGTATTGTGATCAAAGAATTTTCATACACCCATATTTTCTTACCTGCCCCTACCATAGTCCCCATTCTGTTCCATCTGTAAAACAGGAGTCTCCTTGGGAAGGTGAGTTTGCTCCTGATGCCCTATTACTGTAGGGTTATGCCGTTCGGGTGGAAAGTTCCTTGAACTATATCTGTTCAATGGTCCATCCCCCAATGACACAGAGCCCTCTGTTGAATGTTCTGAACCACTGGATGACCTAAAATGAGGCTTCACACTATAAGAAATAAGATCATATACATCAAAAGATGTATCAAGACAGAAAAAACCTTTCTTTGTACTCTGGTTGTCATATAGTGAAAATGTTACCTGTTTTATTTCTTACATACAATATTTTCAAAAGGCAAAAGGATTTCTGTTAAAGAAATTTGTTCAAGGAGAGATTTGGGAGAAAATCCAAAGTTCTTTGGAAAAAAGAAGAAGAAGAAAAAAAAAACTATTGTCTTGATATACCTATATCAGCCAGGTTAAAAATTTAACATCTGTGCCATGAACTCTCAATAAGGGGAAAACCACCAATGAAAGTAAAAATTGGTGGTGGTTGTGGGGGGGAACAAAAAAATTCGCACTCATTTTATGTGTAAGGCATAGACACACATTACACAGATATACTATAATCTGTAATATTAAATTTTCATAGGAGAAAATTAGTAAAGAAGCTTGAAAAGTCTCTTTATGGGAATGACAATGAATAGGATGAGAAACAGTAGACATACTAAAATCTCAGCCTTCACCAAATGCAATCAGTTGCTCAAAGATCCAAATGTGGAACAGAAAACTACAGAGAAATAAAGCCAGCAGTCTGGCATGTGTCATGAATTAAGGTATACAATATGTTAAAAAGCACTGCCTCCCCCAACCCTGCTTCTGCAAAAATAGCTTTTATCTTGGATGAAAACTAGAAGCATCCAACTTCCTAAAAAATCTGTAAATAGATTAAGCTAAGGTAGCATAACAGAGAAAAGATGCAGTTTAATCAACAAGGCAAACACCTAACGTACGCCTAAGCAACTGAGGATCTTGGCTCTACAACAGAATAACAAGGAAGCGTGAGATTTGTATTAGCCCATGACTTACAATCTTTTATAAATGTTTTCATAAATACAAACTGATAATATTAATAACATTTTGCCAATTTCCTAAGCTCTTGGAACAGGGACTGAAAATCATTTATAAGCCCCAAAATTAAACATTAATTTAAATGGCACATAGAGCTATTTTATTCTCCAGAGACCATGACAAATTAGGCTATTACTATTAAACTTTAAGATAAAAATCAAGCTACAATGACACTTCAGAGAATTTATTTTGATGAGCATCTTGCTAAGTTGTAGAGCTTAACCTTGAACTTGAAATAAAACCAACAGTCTGGCATGTGTCATGACAACCTCCTGAAGTTGCTAGGATTATAGTTGTGCTTCAACATATCCAGTGAAAATAGACTGGGTAGGGAGGTAGGGGTGTAATTGGGGCTTAAACCTGGGTATTTAACCACGGAGCCAGACCCTTAGCCCTTTTAATTTTTTTATTTTGAGACAAGGTCTTGCTAAGTTGTTGAGGCTGGCCTTCAACTTGTGATCCTCCTGCCTCAGGTTCCTGAGCTGCTGGAATGACAGGTGTGCGCCACTGCACCTGGCAAAAATAGGTTCTTCAATAGCAATAAAAATTACAGTATGTCACCTATCAGTTTTTTCCAAAATATTTATTATCTAGCATATCTGAAAATGACCTCAAGAGTTTGATAGATTATTTACATATCTGTTCAGAAACTATCATTCACCAATTTTCACCTTGTATACCAATAAGCCTAATGGACAAATTATTTTATTATTATAGTTTAAACAGCCCTCAGATCTCATAATCTTACCCTTCATTGAGAGGGACTTACGATCTCAATCCAGGCAACAGAAAAAAGAATGAAGAAAGAAGTGATAAAGCCAGAAGAAAAGGGGAAGTGACAGAAAGATAGAAAAATGCCTGGATTTTTGAAAGTTAGTCCTATTCTCTCTAAGTAGGACTAGTGATCATCATTGGGCTATTCTCAAAGTTATATCCAAAATTGTAAAATGGCTCTAATAGTTACTTCCTCTTTGATTGCTAACATTAATTTAAAGGAAAATGGTATAAAAGCCTGACAGCTGTCACGTCATATAATAAACAAAAGAAGTATTATACTGTTGGTCAAAAAGTTAGTTTCATTTGTAATGTTTGCAGAAATATGGAAAAAAGTACTCACGTATTATTTTTATAATTAAAAACAAACCAAAACCACTGTTGCTCAAATACATGGAAAAAAACTATACTGTGGTTTTGAAAAACATGCAAAATAATAATAAACTTGCCTATATGCTCAAAACCATAGGTGAATCTCTTTTTTTTAATAAAGGTGACTACCTTTCCTGGCTTTCTTATTGTAAATGTCATCCCTTTCACCAACAAGGCACAGTAGACAAAATGGGGACAATAAAGGAAGAACAATGAACCCACCACATTTTTAAAAAAATTAACAAAGGACCTAAAAACAGCATATTACAGGGACACAGCCACATCAATGGTTACAGCAGCACAATTCACAATTCACATCTAGGTTGGCAGAGCCAACCTAGATGTCCCTCAGTGGATGAATAGATTAAAAAAAAAAAAAAAGTGGCATTTATACACAATGGAATATTACTCAGCAATAAAAAAGAATAAGATCATGGCATTTGCAGGGAAATGGATGGCATTAGAGAAGATTATGCTGAAGTGAAGTTAGCCAATCCCCCGAAAAACAAATGCCAAATGTCTTCTCTGATTTAAGGGAGGTGACTCAAAATGGGGTTGGGAGGGACAGCAAGGGAGGAAGATTACCTGTAGATAGGAAATAGGGGTGGGAGGGAAAGGGAGGGAGAAGGGGAATAGCATGGATGGTGAAAGGAGACCCTCATCATTATACAAAATACATGTATGAAGATGTGAATTTGGTATCAACATACCTTATATACAGATATGATAAATTGTAGTATAAAGGTGTATTAAGAATTGTAATGCATAAATAAATAAATAAATAAATAAATATTAAAAGAATTAACTAACTACATTGGCAGTGCCAGAGATCAAATCCAGGGCCTCACACATGCCAGGCCAAGTTCTTTTTTTTTTTTTTTTTTTTTGAGAGAGAGAGAGAGAGAGAATGAATTTAGTTTTCGGCGGACACAACATCTTTATTTGTATGTGGTGCCGAGGATCGAACCAAGGCCGCACGCAGAGCCACATCCCTAGCCCTGGGGCTCCCTGGGGCTAAGTTCTTTATCACCAACCTCAATACCCAGTCCCGTATTTATTTTTAAGGAACCAGGGATTGAATGCCCAAGACGCTTCAACACTGAGCCACATCCCTAAACTTTTTAATTCTTTATTTTGAGACAAGGTTGCTTAGGGCATCACGGAGGCTGGCCTTGAATGTACAATCCTCCTTTTGCAACCTCCTGAGCTGTTGGGATTACAGGTGTAAGACAGGACACCCACCTTTATTTATTTGTAACATGAGCATCTGAAAAGATCAGCACCAGCCCGATCAGTTAAAAATAGCTTTTAGTCTAATAACAAATATCTGTTCTACTTAAAGTGTTTAAAGCAGAAATGACACCTTCAAAGAACTATATGGGGAAATCAACACATACTTTTTTTTTTTTTTAAACAGATCTACTACCTCTAATCATGACCAATTTGTTATCTTCTCAAGAGAGAATTTAGAAATTGTATTGATTTCTTTTTCTTCTTTTTGCAGTACTAAGGATGGAACCCAGGGGCACTCTATCAATGAGCCACATCCCCTGCCCTTTTTTGTTTATTTTGAGACCGGTTCTTGCTTAGTTGCTTACGACCTCACTAAGAGGCTAAGGCTTGCCCTTGAACTTGTGATCCTTCTGCCTCAGCTTCAGGAGTATTAGGATTACAGGTATGTGCTACCACACCCAGCAATTGTGATTTATTCTATTGGAAATATTTTTCAAAAAATAGTTTTAGTTGTAGATGGACACAATAGCTTTATTTATTTGTATGTGGTACTAAGAATCAAACCCTGTGCCCTCAAACATGATAGGCAAGTGCTCCACCACTTAGTCTCAACCCCAGCCTCCAATGGAAATATTACTTTTTGGTACCAGAAATTGAACTTAGGGGCGCTTAACCACTGGACCACATGCCCAGCTATTTTTAATATTTTATTTAGAAACAGGGTATCACTGAGTTGCTTAGGGCCTCACTAAGTTGCTGAGGCTGACTTTGAACACACAATCCTCCTGCCTCAGAACTATATGGGGAATCAACACGTACTTCTTCTTTTTTAAACAGATCTACTACCTCTAATCATGACCAATTTGTTATCTCCTGAGCTGCTGTGATTACAGGCGTGCCCCATGGCGCCTGGCTTGAAACTTTTAAGAAAAAACTTTTTGTCAGTTTATGGCAGAGGAGAAAGATGTTTGGAAAGTCTTAGTCCTGGAGAGCCACATAAGACTGGCAAGATATTTATCTTCTTCAGCCTTATTTTCTTCATCTATAAGTGAGTTAAAATTACATCATAACAAAGATCTGTGTGTTCTTGGAAATCAATCTTTTCCAAACAACAGGATGGTGACTACAGGGCAGTATGTATACTTCTATTCCTATATCATAACAACACTGAATTTTGTAGGTAATTGCTATAATTACTAAACAAAGTGTGATCTACAAACAATGTACTGCTTGTAAATTACCCTACATTATTCTTTTTCCTGAGCTAGAATCTTGCTATGTTGTCTATGCTGGCCTTGAACTCCTGGGGTCAAGTGATACTCCTGCCTCAGCCTCTTGGGTAGTTAGGACCATAGTTGTGCATGACTCTACCTGCAAGTATCCTTCATTATTAATATACAAAAAGATGCCATTTGAAACTTGAATAAAAACGTGTTTATGTAATACACATTTTCTAGCATTTAAAAATTACCTTTAGGACTGGGATGTAGCTTAGTGGGAGACCATTTGCCTAGCATATACAAGGCCATGGATAGAATGGTGGTCCCCATCTGTAATCCCAGTGGCTCAGCATTGGTCTGCCTCAATAACTTAGTGAGACACTCTTTTAAAATAAAAATTTAAAGGGCTGGGGATATTGCTCAGTGGTAGGAGTCCTCTGGGTTTAAACCCTGGTACCAAAATCCTCATAATCATCATCAAAAACACTGAATGCAGAAACAAAATAATACACTACTTTCATATCACCAAAAAAGCTTTCACAGAATATTTTTTTTAAAAAAAATTATGTTACTTTAAAGCAGCACGAAAACTGTCATTTCTATTTTGTGTTAAGCAGGAAACCCATTCAAATGCTTTAACAGCATCAAAGGGCATCCAAAAATTGTGACCATTAAAGGGGAGCCAGAATGAATGCTTCCAGAATGCACTGAGACAGACATATTTTATACTATAACACTACTTTCTCTAATAAAGCACACTTCAGAAAAATCACACAAAAAAGGACTGAATTATTAGACGACATTTTGGAAATATACTATGTGGTCACCTTGCCAAAGAAGAATCAAGTGGGGGAATCGGATCCGGCAAGAGACTGAAAAATCAATGAAAAGAAATCATTAGTGGGCTGGGGTTGTGGCTCAGTGGTTAAGTACTACTGAGTTCAATCCCCAGTAGCCCCAACTACAAACACACACCAAAAGGGCAAAACTAGTAATTAATTCTAAACCATCTTTTATTCTCTGCTCATTATTCACTATCAAAAGCCATAGTAACATACAAAATATTATCACTTGACATCTATATAAAGAAAAATACTTAATATACTTACCAATCTTCTGTAAAATAGTAAACAGGAGCCCTAATAATTTATTATCTACAAAACAGCTGTACCTATCGTCAGTGCTATAAAAATTAAGATAAAAATGTAAGGCTTGCTGGGTGTGGAGGCACATGCCTATAATCCCAGTGATTTAGGAGGCTGAGGTAGGAGTTTCACAAATTCAAAGGCAGCCTCAGCAACAACAAGGCACTAAGCAATTTAGTGAGAACCCACCTCTAAACAAAATACAAAATAGGATTGTGGTGCTGGGCCTGTAGCTCAGTAGCAGAGCACTTGCCTAGCATGTGTGAGGCCCTGGGTTCAATGCTTAGCACTGCATATAAACAAATGAATAAAATAAAGGTCTGTTAATATCTTAAGGAAAAGAGAAAAATAAAGGCATGCTGTCCATCTACAACAACAACAAAAATATAGGGCTGTGGCTCAGTGGTTGAGTGTCCCTGAGTTCAATCCCCAGTATACTTTGCACCCTCTCCTCACCAAAAAAAAAGTGAGGCTTTAGGAACATAGTCTGAGATTTAAAAGCTATTTGTGTGTGTGTGTGTGTGTGTGTGTTTGGGGGATACTGAACCCAGGGGTGCTCTACCCCTGAGACCTACGTCCCCAGTCCTTTTTATTTTTGAGATAGGGTCTCCTAGGTAGCTGAGGCTGGCGTCCAACTCGAGATCCCCTACCCGCATCTCTAATCTCCAGTCTCTCAAGTAGCTGGGATTACAAATATGTGCCACAAGTCCTAGTGCAAAGTTAATTCTTCAGAATCTGAAATAATACGTATCACAACATTCCACATTTCCAACCCCAAAGATTTTCCAAAATGTTACCCATTTATTATACTGAGTGGCATTTAGGCACAATTCTAGATTGAATCATTCATATGTATTAATAAATATACAAACATTTTTATTGTGTCTGCCAATGAGTATTGCTATTAACAGCAGTAATTTATTAAGAACAATTAGGAATTGTTTAAAATAAATTTCAGCTATGATTGTTATCTTACCGATTTTTTTGGAATGGTCGACCAACATTCATAGCAGCAGCATTTGTTTTATAAGATCCTGGTGAATTAAAGCCATTCACAAAACTACCATTGGGAAAGGGAGCCTAGAAGAAAATTTTAATGTTTAAACAATATCAATGGTAAAGACAAAAAATGGGATTAGGGTCACAGAAATCTATTGAGCTTAGCCTCCTTTTAAGCCAAATATTTTATTTATTTACTTTTGCAATATTCACATCATATACCACTTGACTTATGAATAATTGTTAGTTCATTACTTAATAAGGAATATTATTCTCTGACAAAGTTTCATAACACTAAAACTATTTAAAACCTTGTAAGGACTTATAAGCTACAAAGTAATAAATAGCAACACAAATTAACTACTCCAGCCTATTTCTTCAATTTTCAGGATGGATTAAAAATCCTGTAATTTTTGTTTTATTATCCTATAAGTATCTCACTTACCAGTGGCGTTTCAAAGTAAGGTGCAGGACTTGGAGACCAAGACTGAGGCACAATACTATAGACTGAGTATTGTTGATGAGGATTATATACAGGCTGCATAAAGACTGGTGAGGCATACTGTGCTTGAGTTTGAATTGGTTGACTATACATACTAGAATCCATTAATCGATAACCATTCTTAGCAAAAAAAGTATTGATGGCTTTTATCCTTGCCTAGAAGCAAAAGGAGCACATTATAATAAAACTCAAGTGTATATTTTAACAAATATATTAAATTTACATTTAACACATATTATTTGACTACACTATTTCTGTTTACTGTAGAGTCAGTAGAACAAAAGAAAACTGACAGCTTTATTAACAAGAAATATGTACACAGGAAAAAAATAGAATAAACAAGGTTAAATAGAAAAGTCTGAATGGTGAAACTAATTACAACACAAAGAGTGCTAATATCTCTAATAATACATAAATTGTAAAAATAGGCATGAAAAAGCTCAAAAACTCTACTAGGGTTAGAAATGAGCAGTAACAAAAATGAAAGGCAAACATATGAAACAGATGCTAAACCTAGCTCATAAGATGAAATTAAATAACACATATGGTTAGGTACAGTGGTGTACACCTGTAATCCGAGCAACTACAGAGGTTAACGCAGGAGGATTCCAAGTTTAAGGTCAGTCTAGTCAACTGTCTAGAACATTTCAAGACTTTATAAAGGCTGAGGATATATCTCAGTGGTGGAGCACTTGACTATCATGCAAGAGAAACCATGTTCAATCCTACCATGACAATACACAAATAATTAACATCTAGGAAAAAAATGCTCAAAATCACTAATGATCAGAGAAATGAAAATTAAAATCACAATATAACCCCATATACCTGTTAAAATGGCTGTTCTCAATAAGACCAGTATTGAAGTGGATGTAGAGAAAGAACTCTTGAACACTATTGGTGGAAACCTAAATTAGTAGAGCCATTATGGAAAACAGTTTGAAAAAGGCCCTTACAAGTTAAAAATAAGCCTGGGGGTGTAGCTTTGTGATAAAGAACTTGCCTAGCATGTGTGAGACCCTGGGTTTGATCCCCAGCATAAAAACCAAACAAAAACTCAAAATAAAAACAACAAAGGAAACCCCCATACATTAAAAAAAAATAAAATTATTTTTATAAAATCATAAATTAAATTTAATGGTCTCACCACAAAAAATAAGTACACAAGGCAGATGTTATTAGACTGATTTATTCATTTCATAATGCATATGCTTATTATGATATAAAATTGTACCTGAAAAATGGATACAATGTCAATTATACCTTTAAAAAACTGGAAGAAAAAATGCACATAGCTATTTAAGAACAGTAATCATAAACAGAATGGGAAATGAAGATAAATTCTCCTTGGGCTAGGGCTCAGTGGTAGAGTACTCGCCTAGCATGTGCAAGGCACTGGGTTCAATCCTCAGCAAATTACTTATAAAAATAAATAAATAAAATAAAGGTATCATGTCCAACTACAACTAAAAAAAAAAAAATCAAATAAATAAGTCAATAAAAATAAAGGCATTGTGCCCATCTATAACCAAAAAACTTTAAATATTAAAAAAAAGAAGAAAAGAAAAAAAAAAAGAGAAAATAATCCTCCTCTAAAACACAACACAAATACAGGAACAATTCAACAGTCCATCAATCATGGTGTATGCACATGATATTCATCAACTATGAAACTTAGGTACTTCTCTAAATACTATTTTGGAGTGATTTCCAAAAATATACTATTAAGGGAGAAAAAGAAAAGGTAAGGAGGAGAAAAGTTTATGTAGTAAGGCTATTGTAAGATGGGCATATGACACTTGGATATACAAATATTAGTATTTAACATACTGTGTTTATGTGCTCAGATTTTTTTTAAATAAAATCTATTTTTTTTAAAGACAGAGAGAGAGAGAGAGAGGGAGGGAGGGAGAGGGAGGGAGAGAGAGAGAGGGAGGGAGAGGGAGAGAAAGAGTTTTTTAATATTTATTTTTTAGATTTCGGCGGACACAACATCTGTTTGTATGTGGAGCTGAGGATCGAACCCGAGACGCACGCATGCCAGGCGAGCGCGCTACCGCTTGAGCCACATCCCCAGCCCCTGTGCTCAGATTTTTAAAAAATATTTATGTATGTGTTTTTTTAGTTTTAGGTAGACACATTATTTTGTTTTTATGTGGTGCTGAGGATCGAACCCAGGGTCTCATGGCATGCTAGGTGAGCGCTCTACCACTGAGCCACAACCTCACCCAGCCCACATGTGCTTAGATTTAAAACAAAAATTAATCTGTATAAGTTACAAGAAAAAGGAAACTAAAGGTTATATCTAATTTGTTATGTAACAAAGAATTGCTAAGTGAATTTAGCCCATAATAAAATAAACAGCTGATTGTATGTATGTTCCTTAGAAATCATAGGCACAAAATATGGCAAGATAATTAACACTCTTCAATTGTTTTCAGCATTATATTGCTATTGATACTGTTATTCTGATGTTTTTGTGTGCAATTATGGAATAGATTTAATCAGTGATTATATTAGTGTCACAGACATCCAAGATTTCACACTAAAGAAATGAGACACTGATGAGACTGAAGAAATATAAACTACATTGCCTGAAATTAAATGGAAAGCTTCAGCACAAACTCAATGTACTTTTTCTCAAAAAGGGCTAGAGAGCACATGTACCTTAGATTTACCCAATACAAAAGTTGAAACCAGCAAGCCACTAAGCTTCTTGTGCCTAGCCAGTGGTACACAAAATATCATTTCCTCATAAAGGAATCCAGGGAACTGGAAAACATGCTGATTCCAGGTCTTTGCAGTGGTATTACAGAAAAGCCTGGAACACCTTGTCATATTACTAAGCAGGGACACTACTGAAAAGTACCAGAGCTGAAACAAAAGAACTTGGGAGATAACTCAGAGAGGCCAAACTCAATGTGAAAAATAATTACACATTTTTAAATACTCAGAATAAAAAAAAGAAAGGTCACTTTTTTTCCTTTCTTTTGGAGTACAGGATATAGAACCCAGGTCCTTTGTGTATGCTAGGCAAGTGTTCTACCACTGAACTACATTTCCATCCCCAACATATCATTAAAAACAAAAACTGGTAATAAAGGCTAGCAACAACCATTTAGCATGCATTTCACACATGAGCCGTACCTCAGGACAATGGAGATGAGGGTAAGCCTCTAATAAACAGAAAAGAAGGCAATACGTAAAAGGCACAATCTAAGTCAATGACACCAGCAGCTAGTTTTAGTTCCCTCTCTGTGATATTCTGATAGCAAACTCAAATCTGATCAAGATTCTTGATCAAGGTACCAATTTGCATGAAATACAGGAGGATAACAATCACATTAAACTACACTCAAGAAATCATTTAGCAAGGCATTCAAAATGGGTGGAGAATGTCCGATGAAGGGGTTGCTGAGGAAGAGGAATGTTCCAGCAGTCTATTAAAATTTATAAATGCAGATTATAAATAGAAAGAGGGCTGGGGATATAGTTCAGGTAGAGTGTTTGCCTCATGCACAAGGCCCTGGGTTCAATCCTCAGCATGGGGAGGCCAGGGGAGGGGGAGAGAGGGAGAAGAAGAAAGAGGGGGTAAGGGAGGGAGAAGGGGAGAGGAAGAGAAGGGGGGAGAGGGGTAGAGAGATGGGGTAGGAGAGGGAGTGTAACTAGCAAAATATAAGGATATGAACATATACCAGCAGAGCATTTGCCTGGCATGCATGAAGCCCCGGGTTCAGTCCCTACTGCTAGAAAATAAAGGGAAAAAAGTATACCCTAGAGAAATTCTATAAGACATTCTTTATTTTTAAAGAATAGTTTAAAAAATTTTTTTTGTTTTATTTTTATGTGTGTTGAGGGTCAAACCCAATGCCTCACCCGTACTAGGCAAGCGCTCTCCCACTGAGCTACAAGCCCAGCCTCCAACATTCTTATAAAAGAAAAAAAAAAAAGGATGGTAGAGCATTTGCTTACATGTACAAGGTTCTGGGTTCAATCCCCAGTGTGCGAAAAAGACAAGGGAAATCAAGAAAATACAAACACTGAGGATTACCTGATAATAGTCAAAAAATCAGTGATGATGATACTGTGGCTATTTTGGGGGTTATACTTTATTGTTTTATTGATATAGCCTAAGCATCTAAAATATGGCTGTTTTTTTTAAAAAAAGAATCCCTATCCTTTAGAACTACTAACGTTAAATTTTTTTTAAGGTTCTAATTTGAGCCATTTTATTAGCATACAAGAAGGTGTATTATTCACATTTAAGCTTCAGTTCTTCAGAAGTGAAGCATTGGTAGCATTGTGCATGAAGCACTTTGAGATCTCAGAGTAGGAAATTAAGTACAGAGTGGAGGTCTTTTTTCTTTAGTTTTAGGTGGGCACAGTATCTTTATTTTATTTTTATGTGGTGCTGAGGATCGAACCCAGGGCCTCACGCATGCCAGATGAGTGCGCTACCACCTGAGCCACATCCCCAGCCCATTAATTTCTTTATAGATGAAATTAAGTGTGGAATTTATTTCCAAATAATTTTGTTATGTGCACTTTACCACAACAGAAAAAAAAATGGGTCATAGGTACATAGTGGTTTATTGTACTATGTTGTCCACATTTATGTTTGAAATTCCTGCATTAAGTTTACTTAAAAAGCCAAGCATGATGATGCATGTGTGTACAGCTACTTGGAAGGCTAAAGCAGAAGGATCACAAATTTGAGCCTAGCCTTAGCAACTTAGTGAGACCCTATCTCAAACATTTTTTAAACAAGGAGGCAGGACTTGGGATTTAGTTTAGTGTTCCTAGGTTCAATCTCCAGTACCTAAATAATTAGGTAAACCAACAAAAATTGCTCTAACACATGGCAAATTTTAAATTCAGACTATGTAGTGATAAACTGCTTTTGGGCGCTCTTAATAAAAAAAGTATGTGGCTAATAAAACCTGTGATATTCATTATTAGGCTGCTGAAATAAAGTTTGGCAATTTCTGCAACAGAATTAATAGATGTTAGAGGGTGGACTGGGGTTGTAGCTCAGTGATAATGTGCTTGCCTCTCGTGGAAGACATTGGGTTCGATTCTCAGCACCACATTAAAAATAAGATATTGTGTCCATCTACAACTTTAAAAATATATATATTAAATATATATTATATATTAATTTAATAAAATTTAATTTTATTAAATTAAATTAAAAATATATATACCCCCAATATATATATAAAAAATAAAAAGATGTGAGAGGGTTAGATTAGGAACAAAAAGCCACACCAAGGTGTTGGAACTTGCCAAAAGAAATGAGAATATCATTAATTTATTGGTTAAGTTGAGGACAGTTGGCAGTTTCACCTTATATTTATTCATTATTGTGAATAGTAGTACAGTATTCATTCTGGTCTGTTGTGTGTGTGTGTGTGTGTTTAGGGTGTTTTTTTTTTTTTTTGGCGTGTGTGTGTGTGTTGCTAGGGATTGAACCAAGGGCATCATTGAAAACAGCAAAGATTTTAATCCAGCTATTATAAATGTATTTATAAATAACATACAAATTGGAGGCTGGGGATATAGCACAGTTGGTAGAGTGCCAAGGCCCTGGATTCAATCCCCAGCAGTGGGGTGAGGTGGGGGGAACCATAAAAAAATTATGTTAATTGGCTGAAGTTAGAATGCAATCTAAACACATGAAAATTTTTTAAAATAGAAATTCTAGAATATAGCCTCTACATGTTCAGACTGAGGGTCTAGCTCAGTTGTAGAGAACAAGCGTAGCATGTACCAAGGCCTTATGATTCAATTTCCAGTAACACAAATGGTTTGACTTATTTAAGCTGAGAGCACCATATAGGATTTCTGGCTCTGGCATTTTTCTTTCCAGGTATTAGGCCATTTGGTTTGGATGGATGGCATAAATGTTAATGTGCAGGCAGGGGATGTGGCTCAGTGGTACAGCGCTTGCTTCATGTTCAAGGATTTGGCCTCAATCTATACCATGGGAAAAAAAAAAATCAAATCAAATCAAAAAGAGGTGATGGAAACTAAAGTGAATTTCTTGGCAAGAACACTGCTATGTGAAGCTAAAAAAAAAAAAAAAAACATGAAAAAAAATCAAAATGGTAGAGAGGAAAAACAAAACACTACAGTGAAAAAATTTTTATTACTATACCTGAAATTTCAGCAAAAGAAAAAAGAAACGGGAAGTGAAGGAATAATCAAACTACAGGTTATTTGCAGATTTCATCATTTCTCATGTTCATAATCCAAAAGACCCACCAACCATTAGATACAATAAAGGTGCTCACCAAGGTTGCCGTAGACTATAACATTAAACAAAATAAAAAGAAAACCCTAAGATACCAAAAATAACCCCCCCATCTCCACCCACCGGTGGGACAAGGACAAACAAAAACATAATTTTAAAAAATTATTTTTTGGTGTTGATAGACCTTTATTTTATTATTTATATGAAGTGTTAAGAATCGAACAGTGCCTCACATATGCAAGTGCACTATGACTGAGCCATAACCCCAACCCCAAAAGCATAATTTTTAAGAAGGGCTGGAGCTGTAGCTCAGTGGTAAAGTGTTTGCCTGGATGAATGATGCCCTTGGTTCAATCCTTAGCAACACACACACATACACACACAAACACAGCAGACCAGAATGAATACTGTACTACTATTCACAATAATGAATAAATACAAGGTGAAACTGCCAACTGTCCTCAACTTAACCAATAAATTAATGATATTCTCATTAATTCAAATAACTTTTGAAAATTGGCACTGGACAAATGTTTCAAAATTCATATGGAAAATTAATGGTTTCAGAATAGCCAACATAACCCTGAAAAATAAGAAAAAGGAAAAAGAACTTATATATGGAAATAAGGATATTGCACAACTATGGCAATTAAAAAATATTAGTATTGGTTCAGGAAAGTAGAGATGCAGAAAACAGGAAAAAGAACCTGAAACAGATCTCAGAGATTTAGCACTAACCACATTGTAAAAGAATAAATCAGTCAACACTTTCATGTTGAGACAATAGTATTTTCATTTATGTTAAGAAATGAAATTAGATTTCCATTTCATACTACTAAGATTTAGATCTTGGTAAATACTAAGTCCTAAGACCTAAATCTGAAATACAAAACCTTGAAGCTATTAAAAGACTCAGAACATTTTCATAGTCTCAAAGTAAAGAAGGTGATAATAATAGGAGAGCATCAGAGGCAATGAAAATAATTACAACTACCAAATAGCTTATTCGTAACATGAAAACTAATAACATGACCTACTATACAATAAGGATGATATTAAATATGTCAAATTCTTAGAACGCGGGCTGGGGTTATGGCTCAGAGGTAAAGCGCTTGCCTAGCATGCGTGAGGCACTAGGTTTGATCCTCAGCACCACATAAAATAAAAAAATAAAGATATTGTGTCCACCTGTAACTAAAAAAAATAAATACTTAAAATAAATTCTTAGAACATGCCTGACATATACTTCTTAATAATATAACATACTAATTATATGAAAGCAGGTAGGTTATTCTCACTTTTTGCACTAGTAAAATGAATACGGGTAGCACAGGTAGCAATGCAGAGAACAGTAAAGTGTAGCAGTTACGAAGCTACTCCAATTGTTCAAACAATAGCAATAGTGATGGAAAGAAGTTTGAGGGTAGATTTCATAGGACCCAAGAATAGATAAGACACGATCAAGTGTCATCAATGACAATTCCTAGGTTCCCAAATTGTTGAATGTTAATGTGGGAATGCAGTCAATTGAGATGAGGGTGAAAGTACTAAGAATGTTTTTTATTCCTGTTGTTAAAGTTCTATCAACTAAGAATCAAATAATACAAGCCAAAAATATCTTTTAAATTACTATTGGTTTTGTAAAATATTATTTCCATGTTTTTTAAAATTCTTAAAGGACAACAACAACAACAAAAACTGTTTCACACCATTCCTCTACTGTATTTACAAATGTTTCTTACCATGATTGGCTTGCCCTGAAACGTTTTAACTTCTTCTCTTAAGTATTTAAAAGCCTGTTAATGAAGCAGAAAGGAACTTTCATAAATATTTAGACATTTCATTAAAGCTATTTTTATTCTATCAACATTTTGGGATTAGCAATTGTTTCCAAATAAAACAACAGTCTGAAGGTGACAGAATGAAAAAACAAAGAAAAAAAATCTAAGCCTTTCTCAGCTACAGTTCCAAGTATGGATTGCCAGGCATGGTGGTGCTTGCCTGTAATCCCAGCAGCTTGGGAGGCTGAGGCAGGAGGATCTTGAGTACAAAGTCAGCCTTGGCAACTTAGTGAGGCCCTAAGCAACTCAGAGAAACCCTATCTCTAAAGTTCAAAAAAAAGCTGGGGATGTGGCTCAACTTGAGGTTCAATTCCCATTACCAAAAAAAAAGAAAGAAAGAAAGAAAAGAAGATCTAGTATAGATTACCACAGACAAAACACATCAGATTCAAAACAGAAATATCACTAGATAGCAATTTAAAAACTATTCAGATAATCTTCTAAGACAATTAAAAATCTTGTTAACTTTACAATGCAAACACAGCTATATTTTTGTTTCAAAGGAATATTATTTCTCTTAGCTTTAAGAGGGAAATGTTAACAACTAAGAGTAAAACATTAAAGTCAAATTTCAACATTTTAGAAATTACAGGTCTACCTACTATCTACTAGAAATACCAACAATTGAGAACAGAGCTCCCAATCTCCACAGTAACTTTGATAAACGTAATATACTATTTATTTTTTTAATCCAGGGCCTTGTGCATGTGAGGCAATCACTCTACCAACTACTTTTTTTTTTTTTTAATTTGACAGGAAACAAACAGTTCTTAAATGGAAACTAAGGAAGCTTTATGAAGATGACCAAAAAGGATACCAGTTAAGCAAGAGTAAAAAGGTGACCAAGGCACTCATAAGTTTTTAAAAACACCCGTGTAAAGCCACTGAGGTGGTGCATGCCTGTAATTCTAGTGGCTCAGGAGGCTGGAGAACAGGAATTCAGAGTCGGCCTCAGCAAAAAAGCAAGGGGCTAAGCAACTAAAACCCCATCTTTAAATAAAATACAAAATAGGGCTGGGGATATAGCTCAGTGGTTGAGTGACCCTGAGTTCAATCCCTGGCACACTCATAAATAAATACAAATAAAAGCACCAGTGTATGCACATATTTTTTCTTTTAAAAAAAAATATTTTTCAATTGTAGCTGGACACAACACCTTTATCTATCTATCTATTTATTTATTTTATCGAACCCAGGGCCTCGCATGTGCTAGGAAGGTGCTCTACTGCTGAGCCACAACCCCAGCTCCTTCTTTTCTTTTTTTTTTTTTAAACATATTTTTAGGGGCTGGGGTTGTGGCTCAGCAGTACAGTGCTCATCTATTATGTGTGAGGTACTGGGTTTGATCCTCAGTATCACATAAAAATAAATAAATAAAATAAAGGCACTGTGTCCATCTACAACTAAAAAAATATTTTTAAAAAAAGTTTTAGTTGTAGATGGACACAATGACTTTATGTATTTTGATGTGGTGTTGAAGATCAAACCCAGGGCGTCACACATACTAGGCAAACACTCTGTCACTGAGTGTACATTTTCTTAGTTAACATATACTGTGACTTCTTTTACAACCAGGACTACAACAAGAAAAGTTTTCTCCTTACCTGTTGTGCATCTGTGTCTGACTGAAAAGTGATATACCAGTTGCTATTATGTGCAAACTCACAGCTTATCACTTTGGGGCAGTTTTCACTTTTAAACAAAGCTTTCACTTCCTAAAAAAGAAAAATCACAGTCAACTTTTCTTTTTGATTTTCTGGTAAGGTTGAGCACTTCTTCACATCTTTTGGTCCTCAATCCCAAGTACAAATAGAAAACAAAAGATATTTACACTAAAACTCAAGAGTGGTCAGTTAACATTTAAAGATACTTAATATAAAGAAACAACTGAAAGTAAAAAAGTATGCATACTTTTAAAGTATACATACATACATACATACATAAAGTTAAAGGAAAAGAAAGAATATGCATTAAAATACCATCAAAAGTCACTGACTTAAGCCCCAAACCAACCCATGTTCAAGTTATTTTTACCAACTCCATTTTTACCAATGAAGTCCACTGAACCTACTTATTACAAGTATGAAGAGAAATGTAATAACCACCAAAAATTTCCAAGTAAGAGAATATGATCAGGTTAAACTGCACCCACAAAATATCAAAGCATCATAATAGGCATCAATTTTTTTATATTTATTTTTTAGTTGTAGTTAGACATAATACCTTTATTTATTTTTATGTGGTGCTGACGACCCAGGGCCCTGCATGTGCGAGGTGAGCGCTCTACCACTGAGCCACAAACCCAGCCTCTAGGCAATTTTTTAAGATAAAAGCTGACGGGAATATTGATGACAACAGTGAAGCCTAACCAATGTACTTCAAATTTTTAAGACACTGAATTTATTTATTTATTTATTTTTAATATTTATTTTTTAGTTTTCAGCGGACACGACATCTTTCTTTGTATGTGGTGCTGAGGATCGAACTTGGGCCGCACGCATGCCAGGAGAGCGCGCTACCACTTGAGCCACATCCCCAGCCCAAAGACACTGAATTTAAAAAAGAATGTTCTCATTGTGATAAATGACATTGCAGGGCTGGGGATGTGGCTCAAGCGGTAGCGCGCTCACCTGGCATGCGTGCGGCCCGGGTTCGATCCTCAGCACCACATACAAAGAAAGATGTTGTGTCCGCCGAGAACTAAAATAAATAAATAAATAAATATTTAAAAAAAAAAAAAAAAAAAATAAATAAATGACATTGCATCAAATGTCTGAAATTTTAAAAAGTGGAAAACCATCAAGTTCTATAACTTTTGTGAAAGTGGTAAATTATCATCAACTTCAGTTTAGAAAATCACCATGTAATCCCAAAATTATATCACTGAAGATCTGTATGAAACTATTAGGTTGCCACTTACTACTGATCTTTACTTTTAAAATACCATCAATACTATATATATTTCTTATTCCCTTAAAATGTCTAATGAATTCATTTTAAAAGATTTTAATAAAATGCCCATTTTCCACTTTCATCATTCCACAGTAAATTATGTTCACAGATTTACTTTTGCAAGCATTAAGAGGGGAAGTCTGGACTTAGAGTAAGCAAAAATTTATTTTGCCAGGAACGTTAAAGGGTCACTACCTCGACTACTCATTTTAATAAAAATTTCAGTGATCATTGCCTACATTTATTTTATCTGGCTATTTTAATCATCTATACTTCCTTTACTTTTTTGGTAATATTGTTCACTATCACCTTGTTTTATTATGTACGTAAACTCTTTATGTATTCAGAATAAAAATTAAAATAAATACAAAATTAACAAAGAGTATTTTATGTACCAGGTCATTACTCTAAGTTTCAAAGATCTTGTGACAGTTTCTTTTCTAATTTCTCTCTGCTTCTTTCTCTGTTTAGGAAATCTTCATTCTAGATACTGAATACTGAATGACTTTGGGTAAAAAGATTAGCTACTAAGGCATCATTATTTACTATGTGGCAAGGGACTAAAAATTCTAAACATAGCTAATAAATTACAATAAACAAGTTAATGATCAATTCTCAACTTTTTAGATTTAGTCTTAAAATAAACACAGTGGTTAAGAAACACAGGCTTCTGAATCAGATGATCAAGTTTAAATGTAGACTCTCTCATGTAACTGCCCATTTATCCTTGGACAAGTTACTCAACCACTTAAAGATCAGTTTTTTTTTGGGGGGGGGGCCTGGGGTTGAGGCTCAGCAGTAGAGTGCTTGCCTAGCACGGGGAGGTGCTGGGTTCGATCCTCAGCACCACATAAAAATAAACAAACAAAAAAAATAATAAAAGTATTGTGTCCAACTACCCCCCCCCAAATCAGTTCTTTATCTTAAAACAAGTTATAAAACCCCTGGCTTCTCATTTTCCCCTGCACTGGGGATTGAACCCAAGGGTATTTTACCACTGAGTTACATCCCAGTCCTTTCTATTTATTATTATCTTTTTTGAGTAGTGGGGATGGAACATTTTTATTTTTTGAGTCTTGCTATAAATTGTCTAGCATGGCCATGAACTCGTGATCCTCCTGCCTCAGCCTCTGGAGTTGCTGGGATTATACAGCATACACCACTACGTCTAGCTCAAACATTATATTCTTATACCTGTATCATACCACCTTTATGACTACAGCTTTGCTTTATATTTTGCTAACCAACAGAGTTGATCTCACATCATTAGTACTTATTCAAGATTCTTTTTATCCATTCTTCCAGATGAATCCATAAGTTCTCAAAATAGCCCATTTATAATTTATTAATTTATTTTTTGGTACCAGGGATTAAACTAGGGACACTTAGACACTGAGCCATATCCCCAGTCCATTTTGTTGTTTTTAAAGACAAGGGTCTCATCTTACTACATTGCTTAGGACTCACTAAGTTGCTGAGGCTGGCTTTGATCTTGCAGTTGTCCTGCCTCAGTATCCAGAGTTGCTGGGATCACAGATGAGTACCAGTGCACCCAAATCCCCATTTATATTTTAACTGTAATTGAGCCACACCAAAAAACTCAGAATTTGATTCACTGCTTAGCCTACCCTTCCAGAACATAGAATTATATGTTTTTCTCCCTCTGTTTTTCTAATGTCAGAATTATCAAAACAAATTAATATTTATCCTATAGACAGTAACTAACACAGGGCACTGTCTTATGTTTTGCTTATGTACCTCCTCCAATTTAAACAGTTAAAGAACATTTAACTTACAAATGATTAATGAATGATTTACCTCTACTGGTGTTGTTTCAGGAATCTCTCTGAGAATGACAATACAACGTTTATGACTTGGTCTCACCTTCTCACCCTTCTCATCAACTTGTACCATAGGAGAAGCTGAAATTTTAAAAAGTGATCTCATTTGTGACAGGTGGTGATGTTAATAACACCATTAAAAAACCATGCATTTTAATTTCCATAGAATACATTAGCAGAGGCTAGGTTAATATAGCAAACATAAGTTACAAATTTTTTTTTTAAAAAAAACAGAGGTTTATATGCAAAAAACATTAAATATTCAGAGTATGTACTTTGGGGGTTGGGGATGTGGGTCTGGCATGTGTAAGGCCCCAAGAAAAAACAAACAAAAGAAACAGAGTACATACTTCAACTTAGCACTGTGTTGACGCTAAAAAGAAACCTTTGGAGAGCATGAAGCACCTATAATTATGATTTTAATTAATTAATTAGTTAAGGGCCTCATCTAAATATATTTACTTTTATATTCTACTATAAAGATCTAAAACCCATTTAGATGTTGGTTTTGAGGAATCCCATTGTCAAAAGTTTTATTTCTACCTCTTTCAGAAGATGTCACACATTTCTCTGAACAGGTATACAAAATTAAAAACAAAAACAAAACTGCAACCCAGTTAAGAGTTCAAATGCTTGAGTTTTAAACTAAACAGGAATAGGTCTATTTGCCAATCTTCTATGTAGATAAGACTGAGTCTTTTTCAGAAATGATGTCTAGACAAACCAATTAGAAATTTCATAAATGGTGGTAGCCTACTACGAATGGAAATCCTCTATTTCTATAAGACTCTTACTACATTTTTTATACTAAATTTTTGCATATTTTGAACACATTTCACATAAAAGTAAAGATCTGCCTTTATTCAGTCAAGTAGTTTGTTAACAAAATCTACCTGTTACAGCAAATATTAATATAAGACATAAACACCACTAAAAATTCTTAGAGCCTCAACCAAGAAATATAAATTCTTTACCAAATTTCAGAAGTATTTGTCAAACTGTAGGTCACAACTCATGTGTAAGTCACAAAATCACTTTAGGACAAAAGAAATGAGTTTGTTGCAAATATACAGTATTAACTTGTAAAACTGACATTTCAATTGTGTGTAGTAGATATGTGTCGAGTTTATCTGACTATAATGTAAACATTCACCTTACGTAGGTTCAAAAGTTTCAAACAGATCGCTTTACAAGGTGTTAGGAATAAGCTTTCTAGTAGCCCATGAAATGAGATTTGATTGTTTACACTTGCTAAATACAACTGACATAGAAGCTGTATACATACACATATATACCATCCCGGCCAGTAAAATATTTTATTAGAAAAAAATAGAAATAAACAGTAAGATGAGTTAAAACAATTCCCTGTATCATAAAAAAAAATCCAAAAAAAATATTTAACTTCTTAAGTTTTAAAAATAAGCTAAAAGGTTATTATTTACATACATCTCAATACTTCAAGAATTAGATCAGGATCTGTGGTCAATTTTTTTATCTCTTCCATGTTGGCAATTGTCCAAATTGGGACGAACTGATCACTATCCATCTGAGATATCAAATAAAGATCCTTTGACAAGTTTTCTCTGAAACGAATAAACAAAAGCAATATAACAAGCAATTTTTAAAAAGCATCTATGGAAAAAAATGTACCTTATTCACTTTTGTCACTATGTCTAGGGAAACAAAATTATGCTATTAGAATTAACATAGTAAACGTTGAAAAATCCATTTAAAAGTTCATGTTCAAAGATACCAACATAATATACATTGGTAATCTTTCATAAAGTTTCTGGATCCCTAAATATACTTGGCCCCATAGTTCTGGACAAGTGATTTTATTGAATTATATAAAAAATGCTTAATATTAAAAGGCATATTACAAAGTATTAGATAGAGCATAGTTCCATTTTATACACAATTTACCATCAATATTAGAATATGCATATGAGAATTTTTCTAGGTACAGAGTCAGTACTGGGGATTGAATGAACCTACAGCCTTCGGCATGCTAGGCAGGCACTCCTTTTTAATTATATTTCAAGACAGGGTATCACCAAAGTAGCCAGGATAGCCTTCACCTTGAAACCCTCCTGCCTCAGCCTCCTGAGTAGCTGGATTACAGATGTGCCCCCATTGAGCCTACCTGGAGGTTTCTAAATGTATAATCTGCATTTATTAGCATGTTTAACCTTTGTAACTTAAAATATATATTTAAATGAAGAAAATAGTTTTCTAAGATACATTTTTAAAAAAGATACAAATACTTCTATCTTACACATACAATCTTTTTTAACAAATTGAAATAAATTAAATTCCTGTCTTTTTATTCATATCAAATATTCTTTGAAGCAGACTAGCAAAATTTGCTAGAAGTTTGTGCTTAAAAGCTCCCTTCTCAGATGCCTGACCTAACTGCCATATTTAAAACCACATAGAGGGGCTGGGGATGTGGCTCAAGCGGTAGCGCGCTCGCCTGGCATGCATGCGGCCCGGATTCGATCCTCAGCACCCCATACAAAGATGTTGTGTACGCTGAAAACTAAAAAATAAATATTAAAAAATTCTCTCTCTCTTAAAAAAAAAAAAAACAAACACATAGGCACTTTGGAATTTCTTTCCTTTGCTTAAACCGTACTTTTAAACTTTTTCCCACAGCAATGTTCAAACATATTACTATAAACTACTTAATTATATTGCTTATTGTTTCCTGTCCCCACACCAGAATATGGGTTCCATGAATGATATTCCTTTGTTCAGTGTTTAAAAACCTTGTGTCCAGCTGGCTATAGTGGCCCATGCTTGTAATCCTAGCAAATCATGAGGCTGAAGCAAGAGGATTACAAGTTCAAGACCAGCCTCAGCAATTTAGTAAGACCCTCAGCAAATTAGGGAGGCCCTACTATATCAAAGCAAAAAATAAAAGGATGTAGCTGGGCTGGGGCTCAGTGGTAGTGCACTTGCCTGGCATGTGTGAGGCACTGGGTTTGATTCTCAGTACCACATATAAATGAAACATATTAATAACATCCTAATCAACAAGAATAATGAATATACTTGAAAATTAGATAACCATAAACAATTTTTGCACAACTAAAAGGCTGCAGCCTAAACCTACCCTGTCTTTTGGCAGATCTATTATAATATAAATCATGTGTCAAAATTTGCTATTAAACTTTAATAATAATACCTTTGGGGCTGGGGATATAGCTCAGTTGGCAGAGTGCTTGCATCGCATGCACAAGGCCCTGGGTTTAATCCCTAGCACCACCAAAAACAAAATCACACCAAATAACCAACCAACCAAACAAACAAAAAACTACTATACCTTTTCAGAAGTAAATAAAAATAATTGATATAGCATCTCAGACTTACCTATTCATGAATAATATTTGACATATATTAATGGCAAGTTGTTTTTTGTTTTTTTTTTTGGAGGGGTAGGGGGTGGGGCCGGAGGAGTGCTGGGGATTAAACCTAGGGGTGCTTAATCACTAAGCCACATCCCCAGGCTGGCCCCAGTTGGCCTTCTGCCTCAGCCTTGAGTTGCTGGAATTACAGGTGTGTGCCACAATGCCTGGCTTTAATGGCAATCTTGCTGAGCTACAAATGATAACCACCTGGCTGGTCTGAACAGCATCACAGTCTTAGACATGATGTACTATATCATGTGCAAGAGCTCCTACTACCAACACTAAAAAAGCTTGGATTAATTACAAGAATTATGTTTTGAAAGATAATAGGAGAGGTGTGGAAGCTTCAAAGACAAAAACAACTAATATTAGAAAGACCTTATGGAGTGCATTTGCATAGAGGAACTATACTGAGCAAAAAAGAAGCCAGCAGAGCTTTAGGCAGTTATGTATAGTTATGAAGTGTATATAATTGACACATGATTAACACTATGAATTAAAAATTACATTAGTTCCCAAAACAGAGTTTCCTGAGTTCTAAGGAATATGAGAGATTGTGAGCCAGGCTGAAAAGGAAAAGTAAAATCTGTGTGGTCCCAATGGAAACAGAACCTGCATGAAACAAGTCTCCCCAGCAAAGCATTTGCCAGATGTAGGTTGTATGGGTTAAGAAGATAAAGAGGTAACTTCAAATCTCTGAAACATTAGTGATGTTCCTAATGAAGAGAAACTGGAGGAACTATGTCTAATTAAAATGGCTGCTCAGATTTGATCCAGTTCAATTCCTGACTAGATTAAAGCAATCAATATTTCATTCTATCTGCCTAATAGAAGCTTAATTCTTGTCTAGATTGGAAAATTGTTACTTACAGCTTACATACTTCTTATATATGTAATGCCCAGCATACAATCAACATTTGTAAGACATGCAAAAAGGCAAAAAACTATGGTGGAGGATAAAAAGAAAAACTCAGACAACAGATGCAGACCCACAAGTGGTCTATAGAAAAAATATATATATACATATATATTTTTTGAGATAGGGTCTTGATATTTGTGCAGGTTGGTCTCAAACTCTTGATCTTCCTGCCTCAGCCTCCCTAGTAGCTAGGATTACAGCCATGAAATTGTACCCAGCAACAATAGGTAAAATAAAGTAACTATTACAAGTATGTTCTAGAAAATGAATTATATCATAGGCAGAACTATTAGAGAAAAAAGTCAGGAGACTCTTGCTTTCATCCTGCAAGCTATACAAGAATGTAAAGAGGATAATAAGAGGTCTGGGGCTGTGGCTCAGAGGTAGAGCGCTCGACACCACATAAAGTTGTTGTGTCCACCTACAACTAAAAAATAAAAATAAACAAATATTTTGTTTTTAAAAAAGAGGATAATAAGATAAAGGAGTTATTTAGGATAAAGAATTAATTAAACATGGCTCAAGAGTTCATTATGTATAAAGAAGTTATGATGGGAATCTCAGTAGTAGAGCACTTGCCTGGCATGTGTGAGGCACTGAGTTCAATTCTCAGCACCATACATACATACCTAAAAACATACATGCATACATATACGTACATACATAAAAACGGGCACTTTACCTGAGCCACAACCCCCAGCCTCATTTATTTTTCATTTTGAGACAGCCTTGCTAAGCTGCCCAAGTTGGCAACTTGTGATCCTCCTGCCTCAGCTTCCTGAGTCACTGGGATTACAGGTGTGTGCCAAGGCATCTAGATACATAAGACATTGCCTAAATGGACTCTGTATTTAACAGAAGACACTGATAGTATATAATCCCTCTGGCTATCTCCTTGCTAAAAATAACTATGTTCAAAAGTTACAAGAGTCAATTCCTAAAATCAAAGAAGTATTTTCCCCTACCTCTCCATTAATTTGTCGATTCTTTTTTAAGTTGTAGATGGATACAATATCTTTTAAATTTATTTTTCATGCGGTGCCTCACACTTGCTAGGCAAGTGCTCTACCACTGAGCTATACCCCAGCCCTAATTTGATTTTTAATTTTTGTTTGATAACTACTTTTGAGAACCCTGAGACTGAATATGTTCATAGAAAAAGTATCTAATAGAAACTTCATTATCTTTCTACTGATAACAGATTCTTTGCATATCTAACTGGAGATTACATCTTTAAATTTAGATTAAAAATATACCACAAATGATACCAAAATACAGTACTACAAATAAATGAGAACCAACATTCTTCTACTCTATTTCATAGGTATTATACTAACCAAATAACTCAAAAAAAGGAAAAATATCAATAAAATTGATTCTGTACCGTGAAAAACAGAATTCTAATTGTTTCTTTAGACATTCTTTTAGGTCTTCTGTAGAAATTGTTGAACTGCTTTCTCCTGATAATAGAAAACAAGAGGGGGAAAAGTTAATACCAAATTATTGTAGGTGATGAAATTTATGTATTGTACTCAAAGTCAAAAAGTATGCACAAATTAAATTTTACCTCAAAAGTGTATTTTTAAATAATATTTATAACAGATTAAGGTCCAATTTCTTCGAATCTTTTTACAGATAAATTTCATATTAGTTTTAAAATTATTTTGCCAAACAAATAAAAAAAAGAACCATTAATACCAAAAGCGCTTGACTACTACGTTTTAAAACACTGCATTAAACATTAAAAAAAACTAACAACTATTTATTTCTTTAAGGGGAACTCAAAGTTGAACAAAAGTAACAGTAATCTAAATTGGAAAACAAATTGGCTAAACCAACTGGGACATATTTATATAATTGTATTTCTCTTACTGGTAGTAAATCTGATTTTAGCCTCACTCTTCAAACTCTAAAAAACTTTTCTTCTTCATTCTATGATTTTAGAGTACTATACCTTCCTACTTATATTTACAGCATTCAAACATTCACAGGATCAGATCAACTCTCTTAATGGCCTTCTGTGCTTTCTACTGTTTAAACACAGTATCTGAGCCCTTTTCTCAGGAAGCAACCATGGAAAAACTGCCACTCTAAATTAGAATCTTACACCATCTTCCAGACTAAAAGCATATAATATGTCCTTTTCTTAAAAAAAAAAAAAAAAAAAAAAGCATTAATGATAATAGAAACTAACTTTTCTCTAAATAGAGACAATAGGATGAATAGGAAGCTGAATTATCTTTGTCTATGATTTTACCACTAAATTGTCTTGTTACTAAAGAATCAAAGTTACATATTTAGTTAACTTCATTAATAATGACTATAAGAAGCATTTTGCCAGGTGCTGTAATCGTAGCAATTTTAGGAGGCTGAGGCCCTAAGCAACTTAGCAAGACCCTATCTCAAAATAAAAATAAAATGGGGTGGGGATGTGGCTCAGTTGACTAAGTGCCCCTAGATTTCATCCCCAGCACACCTCCTGCCAACATTCTATTTCTATGTATATATAATTCACCCGTATGCCAGTTTAATAAGCTATCAATTTGGTTAGCCTTCCGATGACCATTATAGCAAACTCTAAAACACCAAGGGGTTGTCACATCACTTAAACTAACTCCATGTCATGTTCAAAATGGATAGTGGTTAACTTTATTAGAACTACAGGCTAGAAGAACTCCCAATCTTAAGTTATCATGTGAGAATACCTCATTTCAGAAATTATCTTTTAAACCAATGGATTTAAAAAATGTAGTCTGAATGCCTATAATAAGGTAATGAGGACAAAAACTTATAGACCTTGCCTGAAGAGCTACATGAATGTGGAAAACAAATACCTTCTCCATATTACAATTATTGTTCAATAAGACCCTTTAAGCTGGCATGTTGGCACATGCCTTTAACTCTAGCTACTCCTGAGGCTAAGGCAGGTGAACAATGAATTTGAGGCCTCCTGGGCAACACAGTAAGACCCCATGTCAAAAACTAACACAAAATCTTACATCTTAGAAAAATAAAGGTAGCAAATCCAGCTTTTTGATTCATTTTTAGTTTCTTTTGAAAATTTCATCCACCATAAATTCAAGTGAAAACTACTCCATTTCAATTAAAAGAATGTACAAATATATATATATATATATAGCCTACAGGTTAAACTGCAGTGGAACTTGTGTGTTTAGTATGATTTTTTTTCTTAAAATTAATCTCAGCTGGGCATGGTGGCACACGCCTATATTTCCAGCGACTGAGAAAGCTGAGGCAGGAGGACTGCAAGGTTGAGACCAGCCTCAGCAACTTAGGCCCTAAGCAACTTAGCAGGACTCTGTCTCAAATAAACAAACAAACAAACAAATAAATAAATGGATGGGAAAGTGGCTCAGGGGTTGAGTACCCAGGGCTCTGTCTCAAATAAACAAACAAACAAACAAATAAATAAATAAATGAATGAATAGTGGGCTGGGGATATGGCTCAGAGGTTGAGTACCCTTGGGTTAAACTCCCAGTACCCACCCACCAAAAAAAAAAAAAAAAAAAATTCAGCAATTGAATATCTATCTATCTGACAAAAATGACATGAAAATTGACAGAACTTGTAATGACTCTAACTAAGTCCGAAAAACTTAAACTTATGAAAGGTTGCAATTTAGGTCTCTTAACTTCCTTCAGTAGGACCCTCATAAAGTAAATATTATTTTTAAATTATGTATTTCATGTTTGGGTATTTTTAACATTCACCTAACATGTAAGAAAGTTTTTCAAAGAAAAGAACTGAATAATACCATATGTTTATCATAACAATAACTATGAAAGGCTAGAATATTAAATTATCTTTTTTTTAATATTCTTTTTTTTAGTTTTCGGTGGACACAACATCTTTGTTTTTTGTATGTGGTGCTGAGGATCGAACCCGGGCCGCACGCATGCCAGGCGACGCACTACCGCTTGAGCCACATTCCCAGCCCTTAAATTATCATTTAAAAAAACAATAAAACAACAAAGTTTACCAGAAACATCATATATTTGGTAACTCAGCTCTTCAGGTCCTAATATCATTCCATCAGTTGATTCTTCAATGCCTGTAGTGTTTCTTGTGGTTTCACAAGATGGAGAATACATTACTTCATATTCCTTACACATATCTTCTGAAAGCTCAGCATTTCCTGTATTCAAGAAAAAATAGTGAAAGTAAATAGGAATTCTTTAAATCCTACCTTCAAGAATTTTGGTCAGTACGTCTTCTACAACACAATTTCAATGAATTCTACCAGTCAGAAAAAGTTTCCCGTGGTTTTAAGTTAACAGTATTTCCTCAAGGGAGTAAGGTTTCACCATTATAGATATGGTAAAATGATTAACAATAACTAAACTCATATAGCACTAGCTATGTATCTGACTACTCAAATGAATTCTATCCACTTAATTTTCAGAAAATCTTATGCTATAGGCAATTATTATTTGATTTACAGATAAAAGAATATGTAAGCACAGAAGTCTTTTGTCCAAATTTTAACAATGAGTAAAAAGCAGAGCCGATGATGGCAATTCAAAATTAACTTATAAACCAATTATAAATGATAAGTATATTATAAATGGGTTAGATACTGGACCCAGTCACAGATACTACTTCAAATAGTGACGATATATACAAACAACACATAAAATATTTACAAATCTATCTTGTAAACAATCAAAGGATGTATTCCAAGTTCTACAGACTGGTTTGGCATTACCATTTAACTTAAATGTAATTTTTCCAATGAAACATTTAGGACTTACCTTCAGGATGAGACCCTGATGTGGCTGCTGTTTCATGCCAAGAGCTTTCAGTTCCATGAGCTACAGTAGTGGCATCAGGAGTTCCAGGAGGAATTTCTTGCCATACTTTGGCATTAGGATTTAAACCAGTTCCTTTAGATGTTACCTGCTAAATAATCAAAAGATCTATTTATGAATTTTAGAAATGGGAGTGAAATTGTAAATTTATACAAAAGGTTTTTGCATTACTTAAATGTGAAAAAAAACCCAAACAGTATTAAATAATTTAATATTAAATAAATATTATAGTTTCTGATCAACTTTGAAAATTAATATTGAACTCTATTTATTTTTGTGATACTAGGGATGAAACCTAGGGGTGCTTTTCCATTGAGCTAAATCCACAGCCCTATTTTTTTATTTATTTAGCCATGCCTCATGCATGCCAGGCAAGTGCTTTACCACTGAGCCACATCCCTGGTCCTTTTTTATTTTCAGTCATGTTCTCACTAAATTGCCCAGGTGGGCCTCGAACTCACTGGGATAATAGGCCTCTGCCACCAGATCCAGCCCAGAAAATGTAATAAAAAATATGTATCTTTGTAGAATACTACTAAAATACCCTCTTACACGATATACTTGACAGTTACATAAAAATTTATTCAAAGTACTACTATATCTTCAAGATATTAGTGTTTATCTAAAGCAAACTTTTTGAGTTATCTACAGCAATTTTCCAGAATATAATTTTTATTGTCATCTAAGTTGTGACAGAGGCCTCTGAGTCTGAATGATTATCACTGAAAATGTTATCAAGTCAAGAACTGTGGTCTGCTCTCTTCCATCTATCCTTAAAGTGTATATTCTCAGTGCCCACAACGTAATTATTTAAAGCATTACCATTTAAAGAAATCTTTTTTTTTTTTTAGAAAGAGAATTTTTTTTAAAATATTTATTTTTTTTTAGTTTTTGGCAGACACAACATCTTTGTTCGTATGTGGTGCTGAGGATCGAACCCGGGCCACACGCATACCAGGCGAACGCGCTACCGCTTGAGCCACATCCCCAGCCCTAAAGAAATCTTTTGCGTGCATTATTTAATCACAAACACAGAAGAGACTGAGCATGGGGGAAGAAGAAGAAGGGAGAAGTCTATGAAAAGATGGAGATGCTGAGAAATGAAGAGGGGGTGGGATGCACAAATAACACTTCTCACTTTATTCAACCAAATGACAGGGCTTGATCCTTCTCAAGTATATAAGGACACAGAAAATTTCATTCCCTTTCTAGAATTTACTTTTGTCTTTTCTGCCAAGGTCCCACCCCTGGATCGTAGGCACCAGAAGATGGATCCACATGGCAGAAAATTAATGAGCCCAAGGTTATGATCTACAGGTAATAGGGATTCAGCTTTCATGAAAACTGGCAAATGCTGAACTATTTATTAGGTTGTCATGAATTCCCTATTGGTCCTGGCTCACAGGGCTTAAAAAAATAAAAACCCGCTTTTTTAAAAAATATTTTTTTTTAGTTGTAGTTGGACACAATACCTCTATTTTATTTATTTATGTTTATGTGGTGCTGAGGATCAAACTCAGGGCCTCATGTGTGCGAGGCAAGAACTCTACTGCTGAGCCACAACCCCAGCCCCAAAACCAGCTTTTTAAGGTATCACCAACACTCAAATATGCTCAACAAAGATAAAATTTAGTGGATGGAACTGCAGAACCCCAAGGCAAAATTGCTGATTTAAGACACAGCTTCTGGGCTGGTTTGTGGCTCAGTGGTAGAATGCTTAGCCTGACACATGTGAGGCACTGGGTTGGATCTTCAGTACCACATAAAAATAAGTATCCATTTATATAACTTTTAAAAAAAGCTTCCGGGAGGCCTAATTACATTTTCTGTATTTATTTCTGCAATTATGTCCCATGAAATTCCTCTGCACTCTAATAATAAACCCATTTGTACTCACGTTTCTTTTTGAGTTTCCATATGGTACAACTAACATGACTTATATGTAGGGAACCAATGAAACAATAGTTTAATTACACTCTACTGCTTGCCTAATGTTTTCTAACCACCATATTTCAAACACTCTACCTCAGAGCTACATGCTTACTTAACCCTTCATGTTTTTTAAAAATTGGGTTCTTTTGGTTCATCAACCAAAAAATGTTTTTAAACTTAACACAGGAAAAAAAGAGACAGACACAAATACCCTTTTCCATGCACAGGTCCACTCAATATCTTAGGAGCCAGGGCTGAAGCTTTGAAATTGCAATGGTAGTAGTGAGTAGTTTATCACTGACATAGTTCAGAATTTCCTGTAGTAGGACAACAACAAGCATATACCTTTCAGTCAAGTTTTATTACTGTATTAAATTTCTCTACAGCTGGGCTGAGGATATAGCTCAGTTGGTAAATGCTTCCCCTGAATGCACACAGGCCTGGGTTCAATCCCTAGCACCACACACACAACACACACAGGCACACACAAAAATCTCTACAGCCAATAGCTGCCTCTCCAGCTTCCTGCCTGCACCAAGGCAGTACTCCTGCACTCTGCTTTTGATAGGCACTGATTGATTGGTGATTATGATTTGGAAATTTAGGTACAACATAACTTCAAATTCTCCCTCTTTCCTCAATTCTGATAATACTAGATAGGTCTACACCCAAGAAAACAGCAGGTATAATAGCACACTTTTCAGAAAGAGGTATCAAACTTCTCAATCTTTTTTTTTTTTTGGTTGTACTAGGGATTGAACCTGGGGCACTCTACCACTGACATGCATCCCTAGTACTTTTTATTTTAAGGCTGGGTCTTATTAAGTTGCCCAAGCTGGCTTTGGGGATGACAGACGTGTGTCACCATGTACAGCTACAATAGTCATTTAATGAATAAGACCTGGATGTGAAAAATATGCAGTGGAAGGGTCATTTACTTACAAGAAGCACCCCTGATTCACAGGATTGCTATGCAAAGTTGTATAGGGCTTTAAGTAAAGCAAAAGAGTTATTTCAGTTACTATTTAAACATATAATGATTGAGGCCCTAGAATCACATATGAATTCCAAACAGCTCTTACATGAACTTGGAATAATGTAACCCTGAGAAAAATCTCTCACCTAAGCCTAAATTACAAATTGAGGTAAGAATTCTTTATTTTAAACATTAAAGTACATTAACACTTGAAAAGCAGTTAACATTCGTATAAATATTTTATAAACTTTTTAATAAAGCATGTGGTTTTGAATGGAAAGCAATTCTGCTCTTACCCTCAAAAGTATACATGAAAACTAATATGTTTCATCAAAATAACTACGAGATGAAGTTCAAGTTAAACTTATGTCACAGAGGCTGGGGTTGTGGCTCAGTAGTAGAGCGGTTGCCTAACACATACAAGGTTCTGGGTTCGATCCTCAGTATCACATTAAAAATAAATAAATAACATTATTGTGTCCAGCTACAATTAAAAAATATTTAAAAAAACCCTATGTCACAGAAAATTAGCTTTAAAAATAAGACACATTGCAAAAGACGATTACTATAGAATAATATAAAACTGCAACAAGAAAATAAAAAAATATGACAAAGAAAGCAAAAATCACAAAGGAAAAACAACTTTATTTTTAACTATGGAACACCAAGTTATTATGAGTAGCATCCCAATTTTCAGAGAGGTAAAAATGAACAAAAATATGCATTTTAGAATCCATTGAAACTATATACTTTGAAAAAGGCTTTCAAGTAACGGAGGGGAAAAATGTAAGCACCATAACAACAGCAGCAAATGTAATAAGCAATTCTGTAAGCTAGGCAAGTGTACTAAATGGACTTTTTTTTTGGGGGGGAGGGGGGTACTAGGGGCACTCTATGACGTCCCCTGACTTTTTTGAGTCAGGATTCTACTACATTGTCCAGGAACTTGTGATCCTCCTGCCTTAGCCTGAGTTAGCTGGACTACAAGTATGCACAACCATGCTTGACCCATCTCACCAAACTCTTGCAACAACACATTATAAGCACTCCTATTTCCTCTTACAGATTAACCCATTTTGAGAGACACACAGGGAAAAAAAAAAAAAGACAGACATGGACGTGGTCCTGAATTTGATCCCTAACAAGTGGGTGGGTGGGTTCGCTCTTAAGCATAGGACAGAAAGACTGTTTGAAGTCAGGATCAAACCCAGGAAGCCTGACTCCAGAAAATCTTTATATTATCTTCTATTCTTGCTATGTGCAGGACTGAAAGACAACATACTCCCTTTTCAAGTATACCATTAATTCCAATTCTTTCTAGTTTGCACTATTGATAACAAGCAATGGCTTTCAGTCTAGTTGCCATTCTTCATCTTTTTTACTGTTTGCTTAATCATTTTTATTATACATTTTTAGTTGTAGTTGAAAACAATACCTTTATTGTATTATTATTTTCATGTGGTGCTGAGGATTGAACACAGCACCTCACATGTGCTAGGAGAGCACTCTACCGCTCAGCCACAACCCTAGCCCTCTTTTTTTAATTGTTTTTAGCTGTAAATGAACACAACACCTATCTATCTATCTATCCTAAGGATTGAACCCAGTGCCTCACACATGCCACAACCCTACCCCTTGCTTAATCTTTTTAGTGATATTCTGCCATTTTTTTATTGGCTGCTCAAAATATTACAATGATCTTGACATATTTCATACATTTGATTCAAGTGGGTTATGAATTCTTATTTTTACCACGTGTACAGATTGCATACATACTTCCATACTAGTATCTGTTGTATTCTGCTGCCTTTCCTATCCCCTTCCTATCCCCCCTCCCCTCCCCTCCCATCTTCTCTCTATACCCCATCTACTGTAATTCATTTCTCTCTTTTTTTCCCCTTTCCCCTCACATCCTCTTACACATAATTTTGTATAACAATGAGGGTCTCCTTCCATTTCCATGCAATCCCCATTCTCTCTCCCATTCCCTCCCACCTCTTGTCCCTGCTTAATGGTAATCTTCTTCTCATGCTCTTCCTCTCTGCTGTTCTAGCATAATCTGCTCTAATGCCATCCATTTCCCTGCAAATGCCATGATTTTGTTATTTTTTAGTGCCGAGTAATATTCCATTGTGTACAAATGCCACATTTTTTTTTATCCATTCATCTATTGACGGGCATCT